ATGGTGTCTACACAGCCTTGAAAAAGTCTGAATATTTTTAAAATAATGCCTCTTAAATGTAGTAAAGCTTGGTCCCTTAAATTTTGCATGTATTTATAGAGTAAATTTGTAACTGCTGATTGGTGAGGAGAAACTGTGCTACCCACATTTATGATAGTATTGGTGTATAGAAAATAATGTTCCAGTTTTCATTCTGTTTCTGTTTTTAAAGTCCTTGCAGAAAAAGAAGCTGAAATACAGGTTACAAAATGAAGCACTTGCATATGCTGTTTTCTGCTTTTGATTTATTTTCTAACTTGCTTTTTTGAACCTATTGAATGAATAATGTTTAATCATTTTTTTTTTTTTTTGGTTGAACTTCATGGAGGTCACAGTTCAGAATTTATGGAGTCTTGAAATACCATAATGCAGTAAGTGCAGTGTGGTGTAACAGGAGGGAAACAACTCACATGATCCTCAGGAGAACTAAATCCTAATCTCAGTTTTTTCAGTGAGTCATTGGTGGTATAGGAAAAATGTAACTTCTCTTTGGCCCAGCCAACTCAGCTTGATAATCTTCTCTCCACTTCTGAAATTCTGTACTATTTCTATTAAGTATATATCTTTCTGGGATTCAGCAAGAAATGGTTACAGATGAGCACAGATGTTTTAAAGATTGGATTTAGCACCCACAAGGTTAATGAGAGGTAGTGGATGTATGGAGGAGGTGTACTCTGGGTTCATTTTTCAGGCAGGTGTCTGTCAAGTCCACCAGGGATGGCATTAGCGGAAGTGAGATGTGCAGACATACCGAGGCGGGAGTAAGTTAACAGAAGATGCTCACAGGTCCAGCCCACGCTGTCTGGGCAACGATCCTGGGGTATTAGCTCTCTAGCTAAAAAGGAAGTGTTTTTCTGTCTCATTAGATATTTTCTGTTCAGAATTCATTTTCCATGAAAATGCACAGAAAGCACAAGTTTTACCCCATCTCTCAGAGGAGGTAGCCCTCCATATGCTGCCCCCTTGAATGCACAGGCACAGCCTTTCCCTGGTGATGGCGTTCGGGAAGAACACAGAGACTTCCTTGGTGGTATTCATTTTGGAAGGAGTGTTGTGAATTTAGAATTTGTGTGTGTGTGTGTATGTGTGTGTGTGTGTTTGTAAAATACATTCTGCATTGAGTAATCAGCCGCACCTGTAGGGTTTTCTTATCTGATCTTGATTTGCAATTGTTATTTCATGTCTAGATCAGTGCTGCTCAGTACAGCTGCCTGCCACAGCCAGCGGGAGTTCTCTGCATCTACCTTATTCCCCTAGTCACTAACCCCAGGACTTGAGTGAAAAAATAAACTTTAAGTTTTATTTCATTTTAATTATTTTAAATTTCAGCAGCCACAAGAGGCTAGTGGCCACTGTTGGGTCATTCAGGTCTTCATCTTCTCTCTTGTTTATGGTCGCTTACTACTTAGCACTCTGCTGACATATAAACAGTCTCTTCATAAAGTAGTACCTTTCCCAGAAATACCATCCTGCCTGACTTTCTTTCACCTCTTCTAAGTGTCTCTGGAATACCTGGAGGAGTTATTTCCTCTTAAAATTCTCTGCCTTTTCTCTTCTGGGACACTGGGGTTTCCGTTTCAGCAGACTGCTTCTTAGGCTTCAGATTGCTTCTCTATTTTTGCTGCTTCTTTTTTGTCTGTAGGCTCAGCATTCTGTTTAGCTTCATAGTCTCTTATGTACTTAAGGTATCACTGCAGTCTGTCTGTGCCTCTGAGTGCTTCCCTGTGCCTCAGATTTGTGCCTCAAAGGTCTGTTGAATATCAGTGGTACCTGACATCTTGCCTATAAATATGAGAGTACTTTAAAAAAAATTGTGGAGGATGCTTATTATGAAACACTAGGCACAGATTTCAACTTTTGTGAACCAAAATAAAATTTTTAAAAAATATTTGAGAGGTATAGAGAGAAACAGGTTTCCTATCTACTGGTTTATTTCTTAAAAACATGTGAGTCAGGAACTCAATCCAAGTCTCCTGTGTGGGTGGCAGGGTGTCAGCTACTAGAAGCATCACCTACTGCCTCCCAGGGTGTGTGTTAGTAGGAAGTAGAAATCAGGAGCAGGGTGGAACAGAATTTGAACCCAGGCATTCTGATATGGGACAAAGGCATCCCAACCATTGTCTTAACTTCCGCAAAGGCCTGCTCTGCACCCCAACCCCCCACCCTCAAATAAACTTTTAATTTCATTTTCCATGAATTTCTTCAAATACCCTGATAACATGTTAAATGAGTGTTAGCTCTTCTATAAGTTACAAATTTACTGAAGAGTAGTTTAGAATGTAATACACATTCTAAATTCTGTTATAGTTTTGCTTCTCAATTTTCATCTACTTGAAAGGCAGACATATATATATATAGATAGATAGATAGATAGATAGATATGTATGTATATATATATAGAGAGAGAGAGAGGAGGAGAAGAGAGAAGAGAGAAGAGAGAAGAGAGAGAGAGAATGAGAATGAGAATGAGAATGAGAATGAGAATGAGAATGAGAATGGATATGATCCACTGTTTCACTACCCAAAGCCCATAGTAATGAAGGCTGAGCCAGACCAAAACCAGGAGCCCAGAACTCCATCCAGTTCTCCCATGTGAGTGAGAGGGGTCCAAATACTTTCATCTCCAGTCTCCCAGGATGCATTGGCAGGAAGCCGGATCAGAAGCAGAGTTGCCAGCCCACAAACTAGCACTCTGATATGGCATGCAGGTATCCCAAGCAACAGTTTAACATGCTGTGCTACAGTGCTCACGCCCATAATTTTAATGTTAGCTTCTTAACATTTTAGAAAGAATGTATACACATTTTTTTTTTTTTTGGAAGGTGATAGAGATACAGTAGTGGCTTAAACAAGCTAATAAGAAAGACAAAGTCCCTGTTCTTATGGCTTTGCAACATACAAAGGACAACTTTAAAATGAGTAACTGTAGGACTGGCATTGTGGCGTAGAGGATAAAGCCGTCGATGGCAGGATCCCATATGGGCGCCTGTTCAAGTCCTGGCTGCTGCGCTTCTGATCCAGTTCCCTGCTAATGCTGGGGAAGCAGCAAAAGACAGTGCAAGTATTTGGGCCTCTGCCACCCATGTAGGAGACCTGGATGAAGTTCCTGGTTCTTGGATGTGGCCATCTTGGGAGTGAACCAGCTGATCTAATCGCTCACTAACTCTGACTTTCAAATAAGTATTAAATCTTCGAGGGAAAAAAAAAAAAAAAAAAACAAACGAGTGACTAACACTGTGGGCTGATGTGTTTTCTCATTGAGGACTCCAGAGTTCAGAACCAATGGCCTTCTCTGACAGGTCTCTAGTTGGAACTAAAAGTGAATAAGTGGTAGGCCTAAAATGGGTGGGAAAAGTAGCATGTCAATTCATTGCATTTTAATGGCATTAATGAGTCTCACTTTGAAGTGTATAGAACATGCAGAGGATTTCAGACCTAGGCAGGAGATGGTCTCTGGTTCCTCTTTGGCTTTGTATTGAATTGGTGGTATAGTGGCAGGTAAGTCTTTTGTTAGCAGTCTTGATGGACACAGTAGGACAGTTCCGCAGCACTTAATCACATTTCTTGTCATTCTTGAATTACTCAAACCTACAAAGTGGGCGGCAAACTTTTGATAGGAAAAAAAAGGAATTAGCTTTAAAAGGTTTGTGACTAATGAAAATCAAACTTGTGCTACATTAAGCAACACTTTCAGGCTATTATTCAGTGGGAAGCATTTTTTGCTGAGCTCCCTTTAATCTATAGATACTATGGTTTGGGAAAAGTCCCAGCCAGCTACCATATAGTCTTTTGTTGTTCTTTGTTAAAAAGAGAGGGCTGTTTCATTGAATTGAGAAGATAATGTTGATTTAGGTTCTTAGTAATTGTTTAAGGAAAACAAAACTTTGAATTAAATGAAAACAGATCTTTGATTTACAAGTTCAGAGGAATGTTTGAATAACTTTTAATTAGTAGTTCTGTGAAATTGGTTACGATTATAAAGAAAATAAATTAGAGTGCTGAAGTCAGTTCTTACTTGTACATTATTTCAAGTATTTCCCTAAGGGGGAAAAAAAAAACCTCAAAATGTGGGGGAAGAGAAAGGTTAGCCCCAGAGTTGTCTTGCTAGACCCTGCTTGATTTTCAGGTTTAATGACCACTCAACATGCACCTGCTGGTTACCAACACCAGTTGCAGAGGACATTTTAGTGTTAGGGGATTTTTTTTTTTTTTGGTGAAGTATAAAAATATATTCAATCAATTTTTAACGATCCTCGGGGATCCTAACATATGGTGACAATGTAGCAGACAGTTATTTAAAGTTATTGAGAGAGAGTGAAGCTTTATAAGGTAACTCTAGCTTGAGAGAAAAATCCAAGAAATACAGAATATCAGATTTCTTTGAGAATTGTTTATTTTCTTTTATTGGAAACTAAATGTTGTTTAGTTTGAGCCACAGTGATTACCTAGAAAATTGCATTACGTTTTATAACAATTCTTTATTTTTGAAGGCTGGTGATTTAAAGGTAATAGATTTTGGTCTTCATTATGTTTTCCAGTGATCTTTCTAATGTAGTTACAGGAGTTATTTCTGTCAATTCTCACTTATCTCTGCAGCAATTAGAGATAGAAATGAAGTTGGAATCCTTGATAACTTTATCTCACTTCTAAACAATATTTTCTTAGAAAATGTATATTGAATCTACTAACAGATATAGAAAAATATAATGGCTTTGAGTTTTTTCTCTTTGTCAGTATTTCTATTATTTATCCAGTGTGTATAAGGATTATTAAAATATGGACATGTAACATGTTGCTATTTTGTAAATAAAACAGTTATTCCTGGAACTTAAGTTTACTAATCATTTTTTCCTTGAATACATATTAGAGATTTTTCTGACTTTTTTTTTCCCGAATTCCATTACACTATTTCGTAATTGCTTATATTTGGTGAGGATCAACAAACTGTTACCATTTTGCAGGTCTCATCACAACCACATCAAGGAAACTAGACCGAGAGCAGCAAGAGGAACACATTCTGGAAGTAAGCATTCTTTTGTTTTAATTACTTTAAAAATGTTATAATTAAAAGTGCAGGAAGGAAGAGTCTTACTTTGTTAACCAGTATTCATAATTAGTTTATTTTGTTATCACTTTTTGATCATTAGTAAAGAGATGATTATCATTAGGAACAAGACACTTTTTATGAAATATGATCTGAAAAACACTTGTATTACTTTACCAAACAGGTTACTGTGACAGACAACGGTATTCCCCCTAAATCAACCATTGCCAGAGTAATTGTGAAAATCCTTGATGAAAATGACAACAAACCTCAGTTCCTGCAAAAGTTTTACAAAATTAGACTCCCAGAGCGGGAAAAGCCAGAACGAGAAAGAAATGCCAGACGTGAGCCTCTCTATCGCGTGATAGCGATGGACAAAGATGAAGGTCCCAATGCGGAAATATCCTACAGCATTGAAGATGGCAATGAGCATGGCAAATTTTTTATCGAACCAAAAACTGGAGTGGTTTCATCCAAAAAGTTCTCTGGAGCTGGAGAATACGACATTCTTTCAGTGAGTTAAGACAGAAGTCTTTAAATTTCTTATGCTTTCGTTAGGAATTTGGTCTTGTATTTCTCTCTACGGAGAATGGCTTCAGTGTTTGGGACTTAACAGTCAGGTGGTGCTTGATCATGGTTGAGAAGAGCAGAGTTGAATTTTCCATTTTCAGTTTTTACTTTACTGGCTGCTTATTCATATTGAATTTGGTCACAGAATCATTGTCCTTTCTATCAAACATTAAATGTGGTATATTCGAATACAAATGTTAGATGTTAGAAATTGGCTAGATTTAAGACTGACCCAATCTGCTGTAGTTACAGAATGTAATTTCTGGCCGGTGCCGCGGCTCACTAGGCTAATCCTCCACCTTGCGGCACCAGCACACCGGGTTCTAGTCCCGGTCGGGGCGCCGGATTCTGTCCCGGTTGCCCCTCTTCCAGGCCAGCTCTCTGCTGTGGCCCGGGAGTGCAGTGGAGGATGGCCCAAGTGCTTGGGCCCTGCACCCCATGGGAGACCAGGAGAAGCACCTGGCTCCTGCCATCGGATCAGCGCGGTGTGCTGGCCGTAGCGCGCTGGCTGCGGCGGCCATTGGAGGGTGAACCAACGGCAAAGGAAGACCTTTCTCTCTCTCTCTCTCTCTCTCTCTCTCACTCTCACTCTCACTCTCACTCTCACTCTCACTCTCACTCTCACTGTCTACTCTGCCTGTCAAAAAAAAAAAAAAAAAAAGAATGTAATTTCTGCTTGGGTGTCTTACCCACTCTTCTCTTTTATAGATTAAGGCAGTTGATAATGGTCGCCCTCAAAAGTCATCAACCACTAGACTCCATATTGAATGGATCTCTAAACCCAAGCCATCCTTGGAGCCAATTTCATTTGAAGAATCATTTTTTACTTTTACTGTAATGGAAAGTGATCCAGTCGCTCATATGATTGGAGTCATATCTGTTGAGCCACCTGGTAGACCTCTTTGGTTTGACATCACTGGTAAGCATTCCTCATAGTTTCCACTGCCTTATATAGGTTACACTGAGAATAACTTGTATGTGGTTTTCTGATTTTTGTTGTACATCTCAGAATTTAAAATCAGGTATATGACCTGCTGGTGGAGAATTTGCTTTAAATTATAATAGTTGGGTTGAAAATTTTTTTACAATATGCAACATATATTGTTTGGAATAAGTACAGTATATTCATCAAGTTTTGTAATATAACAATCAGATTTTTTTTAAAGTGCTTCACATAGTTTCAGGGAATCCTAAATGTTTAGATAGAAAAGCACAGCTTCTTAATTTTTAATTCTTCATTTGTGTCGTATGGCACGGTATTATTTTTAGTGACAATTAGTAGAGTATTTAAAGTGATTGTCACAGGGACCAGCATTGGGGTGCAGTGAACTAAACCGCAGCCTGCTATGCTGACTGGCATCCCATGTTAGAGTGCCCATTGGAGTCTTTGCTGCCCTCCTTTGTATCCAGCTTCCTGCTAAAGTTCCTAGAAAGGCAAAGGAAATGGCCCAGGTACTGGAACCTCTGCCCATGTATAGGAAACTGAAGGAGTTCTGGCTGCAGGCTTCAGCCTGGCTGAGACTTGGGCCAGTGTGACCATGTGGGGAGTGAACCAGCAGATCAGCAGATGGAAGAGTTCTTTCTCTCCGACTACTTCCCCTTCCCCCAACCCCACAGTGGTTCTGCCTTTCAAACAAATAAAACATTTAAATATATATATACACACACACACATACATAAAGTGACTCACATTTCAGTATTTTATAGCAAATAAATGAGTTTTGTATGAGTAAACCATTACAGTGTCAGCTGTGGCTTTTTAATTTTATTCACCTCACTTTCAGTAGGAAACAGGGTTCATTAGATCTCATCCTGTAATATAATGTACATGCTTAAGCCAATCCCCCTCCCTAGCACTTCCCCTTGTTTAATTTGGTTCAGGCATTGAATGTAAAAATACCGTATTCAACTAACTGAGAAAGATTCGCATAGACTTGATATTTATAAAACCAAAAATACATGCTGTGATTCATCTGTAGTCAGAATTTCATATCCTTTTCCCCTGTTCTACCTCACAACCAAGTTACCCCCAAATACTCTTTCAGAAAGTTGAGCCTCATGGAAATAGGGTGGCTATACTACATGCTTTGCCTCTTGAACTTTCACACTAGGCAGTGGACTATTTTCCTTGCTTTTGGTCTTTGCATGAAATTATTAATGTCATCAACACTTATGAAACTGTTACAGTTTACTTTAAGGAGAATAAGATTGTTTTTGTAGTCTACTATAATCAGAATAGTCTGTTTGCCTTCTCTTAACTTTTATCACATTTCCAGATTAACAGGCTACTGTTGTATAGCATCTGACATTGCTGACTACTACCTACCATGTTTGGAGCTGGTTTGATTGATTGTTCTTTCTATTCTGTGCTTGCTTTTCATGCTTGCTTCTTTTGGCTGTGCCAGGAGATACACTTGCTAGAGAAGTTTTTTACATCTTTCAGATGACTTGTGACCTGAACTGTACAGCAGAAGGTATCTGCTGAGATCACATAATTTGCCTCAGATTATGAGATCTAAAATAATAAAAGCATTGATTTTCTTTATTTTTTTTTTTATTTCCAGTGCTTCTCATTGCTCTTTTTTTCTTAGTATGCACGTGGTCACCCATTGCAGTTGCAATACATCCCTACACCTGTAGTTTTGGATTTGATTTAAAACCATGAATGTGTGTATCTGTGTTTTTTTGCCTTTTGGTTAGATTTAATAGTATAACTTCATCATGACATTAAGCCTCTCCTTTCTTTCCATTTCATTGATAGAAATATCTAAGCTTCAATGGTTTTGAAAGGTTTTTATCTAAAATATAGTTGGGGATACCTTTGAGTAGTATTAGTAAGACAGAAACTTCTGCATCATTAAGCTTTGTGTTTGACAACAATAGGAATACATTTATTTTCACATTGTGTGTAATAGACAGGAATGATTAAAGTTAACTACCATTATATTTATCAGAGTTAACATTTGTTTGTAGTAGTTATTTTATTAGAGCAGTATGCTCAAAGTACCATGAAATCTTTTTAATAATTCTGCTTTTAAGTGCTCAGTGATATGTCATACAGCTACTGCAATATAAATTAAAGAAATTTTAAGAACCTCTGAAAAAAGCAAATAGAAGGTAGTTCTTTGGCAATATTACTGGTTTTTTTTTTCTGTTTTTCAGAGTTATTGTTTTGCTTCTTCTCAGTAGCTACCTTAACATACAGGATATAATTTTGCTTTTAAAACACTCTGTCTCTCTAATTGGCCATGCTTTTCTTGTCTTCCAAAGTTCTAGCTCTTTGGAATCATTTTGATCAGTATATCAGAAGTCTTTTTTTTTTTCTCACTGCCATTAATTGATATATTTTTATATTGTGATGTGTTTTTAATCTTCTGTCTATTCTAATTTAAACTAGGTGGCAACTATGATAGTCACTTTGATGTGGACAAGGGCACTGGAACCATCATTGTTGCCAAACCTCTTGATGCAGAACAGAAATCCAACTATAACCTCACAGTCGAGGCTACAGATGGAAGCAGCACTATCCTTACACAGGTGAGTGAGTTACTAATGATGTGCTGTCTGGGTAGGGTGGAGATAGCATTCTAGTTTTAGGGCCTGCAGGTAGTGTGAACAGTTGAGTTGCCCTCTGTGGTTCTGACAACAGAAGTTAGTATGTTGTCACAGTTTTTATATCTACACATACCAAGAATTTTTATGGAGATAAAGAAAGTTAACTACAAACCATGATTTTGGGTTTTATGTGTAGTAAAGCAGTTTTGAACATTTTGACAGGAGACTTAAAACTAAACCACATTGTTATGCCATCAAAATTTCCTACTCAGGTTAATTTAAAGCATATCACTGTTAAGGATGAATTGTGCAGGTCATTTTCATTAAAGCTAGTTAAAGTGATTCATCTTCTAAGTCACTTTTCTTTGGGATCCCACCCTTCCCCCTTTGGCTAACAACCAGGGCTATGTAACAGTGACTGATAAAAGTGTTTTAATAATCCTTTTATTACCTTTATTTGTTCCAATCTGATGATGAAGAGGCGGTCAAATGGCTGGGATTTCTAACTTTAAATTGTAAAACCCTATAACGCAAACTTCTCATTTCCTACAAATTCTTTTTCACTGTGACTGTGGGCTGTTTGAGTTATACAAAAGGAACATTTCCTGGATGAATAAACATTATGGGATTTGGGGAAGAGGCAGAGAGCTATCCATTCATTCAACAGATACTTGTGTATTTGTTATAGGGCAGTATATTTTGGGAAGCTGAAAAGTAGGAAACAGAGCAGACAAAAATCCTGCCCACTTGGAGCTTACAGTAGAATGGTAGGAGCTAAAGGGTTGTATGGACTCTACCATATACTTAAGGAAGAAGTTAGACATTAGAGATTCTTATGCTGCTTAATTCATTTTCTAGCTTTAAATTAAACTATTTTAAATCTTATGTGTGCCTTCCTTTCGCTATATCTTTTAGTTGGATGAAGGAATAAAGATTTCTTTTCAATTAAGAAATACATAGATAATGCAAAGCCAGTTGTGAATATATTTATTCCTCTTTCCAAATGCCCCTGATCTTTAATGCAAGTAGAATTGATCCATATGCTATACTGTATGTTTATGGGGTCATTTTGAAATTGGTACATGAGAGTTCTAGTATATTGAACTTTCAATTTTGTCCATAGCTGTTCTCGTTCTAGAGACAAGCAGAATCAATTAATGTTCTCTCTTTAAAAATCAGCCCTTGGAATTTCCATACACTGTTGTTGTTGGTAATGTAAATTTGTATAAACATGGAAAATAATGTGGAAATTCCTCAAAAACCTGAAAGTAGAACTACCATATGATACAGCAGTTCTGCTGCAGGATGTATATCCAGAGGAACTGAAGTCATTATTGTTCCCAGAGAGAAGGCTGTGGAAGCCTTGGGATTCTTGTCTTCAAGCAAGAAAGAATTCAGGTGTGAGACAGAGAGCAGAGTAATAAGGCTTTCTTGGGGATAGGGCATCCATCAGAATGGAAGGGACAGAGAGAGAGCACCCAGTCACTCGGACTCGGGGAGAGGGAGGTTACATGGTTGAATGGAGAGAATACACCTGGGCAGGCCAGAGGGGGCGGCTCAGCAGAAAGGCAGAGGGCTGAGCGGGAAGTCCCGAAGTCTGGTTGGACTCCTTAGGTTTTTAAGGGAATCTGTTTACCCACTCCCCCTCTCCTCCAGGACGAAGGATGGAGAGTCCTGGCAGAAGGGTTTGTTGCGTGAAAATTAGCAAATTCCTCCCCAGATTTGCTGGGCCCAGGCAGAGTAGGGAGGCTTCCCTTAGGGCTTGTCTAAGAAGGTTTTATTGCCCCATGTTATCAGGTAACCCCTTTGGTCCTGAGGAGAGAGAATTCTCCTGGGAGCTTTCCTTGGAGAAAGGGCTGGGACCACCTGGGAGGTTATCAGGTTCTGAGCAGGACTTTGAAGTGCAAGATGCTGGGCTTCTGGAGCTTCTGCAGTGGGTGCTGGTCTTCAGGCCTTTCTCGTATACACATAGGCTCAATTTCTGACTTCCTGCCTAACAAGTATGTCAAAGAGACATCTACATTCACATGTTTATTGTAGCACTATTCACCACAATTATAAAATGGCTAGGAGTCCTTAGACATATGAGTGGCTAAATTAAATATAATTAGTTGTATCATTTAATATAAGTAAATTAGTTACACATATACAGTGGAATATTACTCAGCCCTAAAAAGAACGAAATGCTGTAATTTGCAGCAACATGGAGGGATTAGGTAGGCATTACATTAAGTGAAATGAGCAAGTCACAGAAAATAAATACTGCATAGCTCACTCATACATGGAAACTAAAAAATTGACTGCATAGGAATATAGAATAGTGGTTACCAGTGCCTATGAGGGACGTGGGGGTGGGATGGGGAGAGGATGGTTGATGAGTAGAAGATGGAGAAGGAATGCCTTCTGTTGTTCTGCAATCTACTAGGATAACTAAGATGACAACAGTTAACTGGATATTTCAAAAGAGCTGGTGCAGAGGATTTTGAACATTCCCAGAACGAAGAAATGAAAAATGTCTGATGTGACAGATACTCCAGTTACCCCTATTTGTTCACTACCTGTGTACATGTATTGAAATGTCACATTGTACCCTGTAAATATGTACAATTACTGTGTGTCAAAACATCTTTAAATTTTTTTAAAAAATTAAATTTTAGAGCTTGAAAGTAAGAGTAAGAACATCAAGAATGGTAATGAATTCAGTGGGATAATTCTGAGAGAAAGGGTTAAATAATATAAACGGCATTGTACCAGTTCACAAAGTCCACTGACCAGAAATATAACAAAGGAAACTTAATAAGCAGTGAAACTGGCCCTGTGTGCCAAGCATTCTCATTATGAAAGATAATACATATACCTGCAGCATTTGTCATTCACTACATAAGCTAATTAGAATATACCTCTTTCCCAATAATTGTATTTTTAGTTAATGCAGTTGAAAAGTTAGTATGAAATAGTTGTGCATTAACTATAATTTCTTTTAAATCCAGGAAAAATGTATATATTAATTTTCTTTTCCTTGGGGACACAGAATATCTTAAATTTCCATACTTTATTTAAATTCATTTCCATAACTTATTTTGAGTCATTTTCAGAAGGTCTTGTTATCCCAATGAATTGCTGGCAGGGGAAGGTAGTCAGAATACAAGAGAAGAGATTACAGAGCCCAGGGTGACCTGGTAAGGTGTGGGACAAAGGGAACAATCAGTAATTAGGTTTAGGTTTCCAGTCTGGGACTGAGAACAGGGTGATAGGGATCTGGGAGGGATAGAGCAGCAGATACCACTTGGAGAGGAACACAGGACTCCAGCCTGTGTTGATAAGGTGCTGGAACACAGCAGGGTGAATTTCAGTTTGTAAGTAAGACTCAGGAACCAGTAGAGCAGGTTTTGTGCATCCAGGTCTGTGTCTAGAGCTGCCAGATTTGAGGGGGTTTAAGAGAACACTATCCGCCATCGGCCAGCAGAGCAGCAGTGAGAGGGGGCCATCATGCAGTGCCAGTGTTAATTCAAGTCATATCACTTCACCTTTACCTACAGAGAACTTAGCAAATCCAGTTAACTTTTTTTTTTTCCCCACTTTCTCCGGAGCATCAGCACTGTGCACTCAGGAGCAGACAGCTCGGCTTGAGTCTCCTTTTCTGCTTCCGCTTTCTCATCTGTGACAAGACAGTAGTGATAATCTCCCTTCTCTTCTTCTTATGAGTAAGATGACACACAGGAGGCTAGCTCATAAAGAAAACTCTTAGAGCCTGTCTCACAGCATGCACTCAGACAGGTGCAGCTGTTGCACATCAGCACTGGTCTGGGCTCTTGTCTCCCTGTTTGACATTTGATTTACTGTCCTGTCTCTGTTCTCCATTTCTGCAGTTCATCTGGTACTGTCTGCCACCAGAATGATTATATTCTGGTAAAGGTGACGTCCCTCTGATCAGAAGATTTGAGGTCTTTCACCAGTCTTAGCTCAGGGATCGTGATTCCATGTTTTTTTATTTCACTTTCTTCCCGTTCCTTTCTTATATTGTCCCTTAGTTGCAATTCCATCTCTCTTGCCTCTAGAAGAGAGAATGGTTGATTACCTCTCTTGCCTCATGATTTTACCAGGCTCATGATTTTACCAGGCTCTTCTCAATACCCATTCATCTCTCCAACCTAAAACCTGCTGAAGCAAAATGTTGTCCTCAAGAGCTTTCTGAATGTCCCAAACAATATCCAGACTCTTAAAAACTTATGTGATAATGCATGAGACAAAATTAGGCTTTCTGTGTGGAAGATGCTGTCTAGTGAGTTTGAAAACTTCACAAAAAGAGGCAGGCACTGTGACATAGTTGGTTAAACCATCCAGCTTGGGTGCCTGCATCCCTTATTAGAGTGCTGGTTTGAATCCTGGCTACTCCGCTTCCAATCCAGCTTCCTGCTCATGCAACTGGGAAGCAGCAGATGATGGATCATGTTCCTGAGTCCTTGCCACTTATATAGAAAACCAGGATGGGGTTCCTGGCTCCTGGCTTTGTTTTTGGCCAGCCCTGACAGTTGTGGCCATTTGGGGAGTAAACCAGTGAACAGAAGTTCTCTTTCTCTGCTCCCCTCTCCCTCCGTGACTCTGCCTTTCAAATAAGTAAATAATTCTTTTAAGAAAAGAAAGCTTCACAAGACAGGTACTGTTAACATATTTATTTACAACCTCAGTCCTAGATAGGCAAGTGATGGGCATTAAGTGCTTAGTATACATGTTTCAATGGAATCACCTTCTTAAAACTGATTGGTTTGATTTTCAGCTGTCTGTTTGATAGTGATTAATTCATCTTGGTATAAGATTAAGCTTCCCTGCCCAGTGCTCACTCTGTGGGAAAAGTGATTTTTAAACGTATAGTGGAAATGAGTAGATAGTAATTTAATTTCGATTACCACTGACCTTTAAAAGTGAGGCGATATTTAGAGTTTTAAATGTTTGTATAATTTTCACATAAAACCCTTGTGTGGCATAGTGAGTGCAGTTAGTATTCATAACAAATTTTTTTTTTAATCACTGGGATGATTTAATGTTCACTATCATTATTATTAAAAATAACAATAATAATGCAATAATAAAAGTTTATATTGACAGGGCACTTTAGGATGTTCTAACTATTTTAATACCTTCATTGAATCTTTTTTTTTTTTTTTTTTAATGAGCATAAATTTCCAAAGTACAGCTTATGGATTACAATAGCTTCTTCCCCCCCCCCCCCATAACTGCCCTCCCACCCACAACGCTCCCCTCTCCCACTCCCTCTCCCCTCCCCCTTCACATCACAATTAATTTTCAACTATCTTTATATACAGAAGATCAATTTAGCATATGTTAAGTAAAGATTTCCACATTTTGCTCCCACACAGAAACACAAAGTAGTATTCATAACAAATTTAAACTTACACAATCATTGAGAAACACCAGAATGCTCTTCATGGAAAGGCCTGTGTTCATAGTTTTGGCTAATGTGGTTAACAGCTTTGCCTATGCCTGCCTAGGACTTTGGCCTCCTGTGCCATTTGCACTAGCAAACCCCTTTGTTCTAATATGAACCAACCGTGTTGACTTCTTGTTCATAAACAATAACCATCTTTTATCAGTAAGGATTTCTACTGTGCCTTACCTATTTGCCTCCTTTCACTTTGAAAATTAATGTACTGTCAAAATAATTTTTTGTATTTTTTAATGTAGTTTAGGGCTGAGTTTTAAATTTATATTAACATTTATGAGGGTTTATCTTTTCAACCTCTTTAAATTGGTTTTAAGAAATAAACATGTTACTACTTATACATGTTTTAAAGCAATAGAAATATGATTTAAAAACACATTTGTAATTTGCGTTATTAAGGAATTTGAACTCTCAAATATTTGAGAAAGTTAGATAGTGTAACCATCTATTTAACTCTCTTCAATAGCTTGGTAGTTACAGATTCAAATTCAGTATAGGGAATTAGTCTTTTGTTAATCCTAGTGTTATAGATTATCTCATGTCTTTACGTGAGTAATTATCTCTAGTCTTTACATGAGTAATCTATAGATTTCTTCTCTGTGGAGACCTGAGGAATGAAGCCAACATTTTAGAAAAAAATTTTAAGTGAGCACAGTATTATACTTGTATCACCAAAGTTAGTTTCAAGGATTTAGAAATGTCTTGATTACTCATATTTAAATAAATAATAGGAAGTTTTAAAAGATATTTTTGCTTCTAGATTTTTATTGCTTTTATTTCTCATATTTACACTTCATTTTGCTTTAATGCAAAGTTTTTTTCAATGTACTAATGATTTTTTCCTGCCAATTTTAAACTATTATAGCATCCTAATATGGAATAGCCATATGAGTTAATTGTTAATTCATTGTAGGTATTCATCAAAGTCATAGATACAAATGACCACCGTCCTCGGTTTTCTACATCAAAATATGAAATTGTTATTCCTGAAGATACAGTGCCGGAAACAGAAATTTTGCAAATCAGTGCTGTGGATAAAGATGAGAAAAACAAGCTAATTTATACTCTGCAGAGTAGTATAGATCCATTGAGTCTCAAGAAATTTCGTCTTGATCCTGCAACTGGCTCTCTGTATACCTCTGAAAAACTTGACCATGAAGCCATCCACCAGCATGTTCTCACAGTCATGGTAAGGCGTTCAGCTCATTCTGCTACTTTTTGGTTACTGAAAGGTTTTTTGTGTGTGTGTGTGTTTGAGGGTGATTTTTAATCAATTATAAGGAAAAATCCCAACAGGATTAACAGTGTGTTGATTTTTTTTAGGTACGGGATCAAGATGTCCCTGTAAAACGCAACTTTGCAAGGATTATTGTTAATGTCAGCGACACGAATGATCATGCCCCATGGTTCACCAGTTCCTCTTATGAAGGGCGGGTTTATGAATCAGCAGCTGTGGGTTCAGTTGTGTTGGAGGTTACCGCTCTGGACAGAGACAAAGGAAAGAATGCTGAAGTGCTGTACTCAATTGAATCAGGTATTTTAGGAGCACTCATATTGAGTTTTAACTTTGTACTTGTTAAAATGCATTTTTTATTTCCTAAAAATAATTCTAGATGTTGAAGCTTTTCTATGTATCACTACAAAAATTGCTTAAATTGTCCTGTAGCTGCCGGGTAAACTTTTAACCTATTAGAGAGCAAAGATAGAGTTCTAATTAAGTTTGGATAAAGTTCTTTGGAATTTACTATGTTAGCATAACTTGTAGTAAAGAAAATCTTTATTTGACTGATATATTTGAAATAATAACCATACAGTCATTTTCCTCCACAATGTTGATTAACTGCAAAACACACTTGGGAAAATGCTGGCTTAGTAATTTTAACATTTTGCTTTGTAGTCAGAGTATTTTCGGCAGAGCAAGAAATACCATGAAAAAGACCTTACTTTACTCAATTCTAATTGAATCAAATCTAGAAAGAGGGTGTCATGTTCCTCTTACCTCTTCCAGGTTTAGCTTTTAGTTCGTTTGTTTGTTTGTTTATTTTTTTCATCCCCAAGTGCCTTTAATAGTTGTGTTTCTTTCATGGAATTGGGTTGTTGCTGTGGATCACAGAGTTAAGAAGAAATACTGGAGAGGTTAAGGGCCCTGATGGGTTGGGCTTGAGTAGCAAAGGCGAGGAAGACCTGGGCAATCTTTCTAGGTATGAAAGGACAGGATATCCAGAGTCTTGCTATTGATAATGAAGAGGAATATCATCAAGAAGCTGTCATGGCAAAGTGAACTGTTTTTTTTCCCTCTTCTTTATCCTGCTGTTCACCCATTCTTTTGTCCATTCAATGGATTAATTAATAATTTAGCTCATTTTATGTGCCAGCAATCACATTAGGAGCATTCATATTTGTGCTTGGTAGGTGGAGGTTATTAACATTAGTCCATTCTTATACACGAGTCCTGCCTCTGACTGGAATAGGGAACTGGTTTAGAGCGTGTGATGTTTGCAGTCAGAAATCATGGCTTTGCTTTGGGATTTCCCCAGCTCATGCCACATTGAGATGGCACTTTATAGTTTTCCTCAGTGACAGTGGTAGTAAAAGGAATATATTGTCTTTCATTCCTCTGTATTTGGAATAGTTTTAGAGAATTGAGATCTTCTCCTTAAGTTGACTTTTTTTTTTTTAAGTTCATAACTACATATTTAGAAATTACTTCTAGATATTAGAATTGATAGAAGTATAGATTATCTGTAGATTATATAATCAAAATCTGAAGAAATGAAGGATAATTCTAAAAAACTTACTGTTCTAAGAATTTAACAATTTTTATTTATTAACATGCTTGCTATTGAATTTGTTTTCCTTAAAACTACCAACTTGAGTTCATTACTCACAAATAAAAATCTCATCCAGTGCCCATGATTGCAGAGTTAAAATGTAGTATAGTTAGTGTCTTGGATAAAGATAACTTTTTTTCCCACTGGTTTAGAAATTTAGCATTTAGAAAAACAGTACATTCCATTTGTGCATGCCTGAGCATTTCAGTAAAATAATTTTTTATAGACAAACTGGCTGAGTTTATGTAGGAGAAAATGTTAAACTTTCCCTTAGCTTTCACATAATTTCAACAACTGGGTGGTTAAAATATGATTGTTCATGTCTGAGTAAAGGCATGTGCATTCTTTGAATACTTTCAGTGACTGATGGGATTAGTAATTTGGTATTCTAAGAATGGAACTCTGTCTCCTCTAGAAATGGATAGTACCAATGGCCTTTTCAAAGGGGAGTAGCATTTCTTTGACAATAATTTTAGAATTTTGATAATATAAAAATTATGCTAATAGCCACTTTATAGGGAAACACTACCATTAAAATGCAGAGCTGTGGATCTCTATTCGTCTGTTGGATGAATGTCAAATGTTCATACTGCCTTTTTTTTTTTTTTTAAAAAAAAAAAAAAAGGATTTATTTATTTATTTGAAGGAGTTTCACAGAGTGAAGGAGAGGCAGAGATAGAGAGAGTCTTCCTTCTGCTGGTTTACACCCCAATTGGCTGCAATGGCTGGAGCTGCACTGATCCGAAGTCTGGAACCAGGAGCTTCTTCCTGGTCTCTCACGTGGGTGCAGGGGCCCAAGGACTTGGGCCATCTTCCACTGCTTTCCCAGGCTATAGCAGAGAGCTGGATGGGAAGTGGAGCAGTGGAGGCTACGGCTTTACCCACTGTGCCACAGCGCCAGCCCCTCATACTGCCTTTAATAACAGCTCATTGATTATCACCTGCTTCTGATTCCTGTCAGATTAAATTTAATAAAGTTCCAAAGACTAGTGATAAATTCAGTGCTTAACACTGCATGTTTAATTAAAAGCAATTTATTGAGTAAAACATTTGGTTTGATTAGTAGTCTTGAAGGACAACAGAATTCATTAAACGATTTTCAGTAACAATCAAGTTATGCACTAGTGACACAGTACTGTACATCAGGCCGTATGATGCTTTCTTTATTTCTTTAAAAATTACATGGTCAGAGCTCTACTTTGAAACAGTTATAACTGGAAGTGGAAGGCACTAGGTAAATGTATTTATTGATGACAATTGGATTTTTCCACCAAACTTAGGTTAAGTGTTATTGCACTTGAAACCTAATAGAACTGGCCGTGCTATTTTTTTTTTTTTTTTTTTTTTTTTGACAGGCAGAGTGGACAGTGAGAGAGAGAGACAGACAGAGACAAAGGTCTTCCTTTTGCCGTTGGTTCACCCTCCAGTGGTCGCCACGGCCAGCACGCTGTGGCTTGCGCACCGCGCTGATCCAATGGCAGGAGCCAGGTGCTTCTCCTGGTCTCCCATGGGGTGCAGGGCCCAAGCACTTGGGCCATCCTCCACTGTACTCCCGGGCCACAGCAGAGAGCTGGCCTGGAAGAGGGGCAACCGGGACAGAATCCGGCGCCCCAACCGGGACTAGAACCCGGTGTGCTGGTGCCGCAAGGCGGAGGATTAGCCTAGTGAGCCGCGGCGCCGGCCGCCATGCTGTCTTGTCAGCAGGTCCTCACTGCACATGCGCAGCATGTCTACCATGGGAAGAAGCAGACTCCTGCACAGCTCTTTTTTTTTTTAAAGGTTTATTGATTTTGAAAGGCAGAGTTACAGAGAGGAGAGAGAGAAGAAGAGACAGAGAGAGGTCTTCCATCCGCTGGTTCACTCCCAAATGACTGCAAAGGAGCTGGGCTTATCTGAAGCCAGGAGCCAGGACTTTCTTCCATATCTCCCAGGCAGGTGCAGGGGCCCAAGGACTTGGGTCATCTTTCACTGTTTTCCCAGGCCATAGCAGAAAGCTGGATTGGAAGTGAAGCAGCCAGGACTCGAACTTGCACCCACACACCCATATGGGCTGTGCCCCAATGCCAGCCCCTGCATAGCTCTTTTTCATAGGCCCTTTGGGAGATACTTAAGTATATAATATAGCAATAGTTTAAGAGCCAAACTAATTAGCTTGTTTTCGAAATAATTGCCCTTTTGAAAAATGAAGTGGAATTTTAGATTATTTAGAAGTTACTAATATTTCAATTAAAGTGAATGAGTAACCCCCCCCTTGCTAGTACTATCTCTCAGATTCATTCACAAGTTCTGCACATGTATTTCGCTGTTTGATGAATGTACCTATTCGCAGGGTCTTATTCATGCCACTCAGTGGCCCTCATAGCTTTCCACAGACATGATGTTGCTCTCTCATCTTCGGCTCTGATGGTTTCATCTGCATGTGTGTAGAATCCGTATATTACATCACCATCAGGATTCTTATTTAACCTTCTTGTTATCAGTGATAATCCCAGAGCCATTTTTATCAGAATCAAGATACTCCAGATAATAAAGACTGTGTCTGAATTTCACACGGCTGGGGATGAGCAAAATTGGAAAGAAAAGACAGGTGAAGAGACAGAAATGACCAGGCTGGATCGGGAGTTCCAGGCAGGCATCACTGTCGCAGTCACACTCAGTAAGCAGGGCTGTTTAGGTAAAGCCTAAATGAATGAACAGGTGGAGAAACGGTGAGAACTATTCCAGGAGAGGACACACCACATACAGAAGCCCTAAAGTGAGACAGTGCTCTCCTGATTGAGGAGCAAAGAGGCTTCCAGTGTGGCTGGAAGGCAGCAAGAGAACAAGTTGTGTGGAAAGTCGTGTGTCCTAACGCTGTCAGCAGTGTGGCAGGTGGGCTCTATCCATCCTTCATTTGATGCCTTGTGTGTCTGAAGCTTCACTAGCAGCATAAGATTTCAGTATACAAACTATGAGAAAAATACATGTAGATAAGGGAATGTGAAACATAGATCAGCTGCTTCATTGTTAGTATAGACATGGGGAAGTCTGAGGGGCAGCGATGAAGACAGTTGCCAAAGATTACACAGTCTGCTGTCAGGCCAAACAGACAATCCGTCACAATTTTAGAAGGTGGGGATGACGCATAGGTAGGATGAAAAAGGGCTCTTCAAATTCTGATGACTGCCTAAAGCACAATGACAAAGAATCTGAACTCATTGATTCTCACAAGTACAGACAGGCCGGAAATTAGTGTCTGAGCAGCCTGGCAGAGGCAGTGGGACCTCTTTCACAGGCTAGGGTTCAGTTCAGAGCTTCCGGGCCTGGAGAAAGCCTGTGCCTCATCCCTGTGCAGACTGAGGCACTGCCCTGGGGCCTGGATGCAGAGCCAGGCAGACTTAATGAAAACCAGACTAGGTCTGGCCTCAGAAAAAATTGTCCTGGATTTTTGGAAAATGTATTAAAGGAAGGAAAAGACTGTTAGAGGAAGTGTTTATTGTTAATGATGTAGAGGAAGAACTGCTTGGTTAATCTCCTGGATTGCAGACCACACTAAGTAGGTTTGGTCTGTGCAGTGCCATACTGATTGCAATGCTAGAGGAAGGAGAATTTGAGAATACAGTTAAAAGGCAAGTGAACTCTGTTTTGGGTAAGTGTAATTTTTCACATGGGAAAAATAAATTCAGTGCATGCTTGTTTATCAGACAGGAAAAGGATTGAGGGTTCTGGATCTACCAAGTCTAAGGACCCTCTGATTGCTGTGTTCCATCCAAAAAGGCTGTAGAGAACTGCTGGATTTCTTCCAAGAGATTTCAGTTGATACATAAAATGGAATTGTTGTGGAGTACATTTGCAGCTAAATATGTGGTATAGCCTGGAAACGTTAAAAGAAAAGCAAGTAAACAATGTAGCCTACATCATTGTCAGCTCCAGCACTGCTGACATTTTGGACCAGATAATTTTTTTATTGTTGTGAAGGCTGCCCTATGCCTTGTAGGATGTTTATCAGCATCCAGTACATCCTCTGCCTCTAAGCTTTGATAATCAGAAATGTCTGCAGACATTGCCAGATGTCCCCTTTGGAGCAAAGTTGTCCTATTTAAGAGTCTTTGTCCTGACAAAGACTAGGAAGGCAATATTGTTGAAATCTTCATAACTGGGGTGGGTTACACAAACTTACTCATCCTTGAATATTTAAAATAAGGAAGAATTTTTTGAAGCCTAATTTAAATTTTGTTAGTGAATTGAAATCTTCTCCTTCATAGTAAATAAGAATTTTGAGAATTAGCAGATGATACATGCTGAAAATACGAATGTATTCCAGAAAGATTTTGAGGTACTCTTGGGAAATTAATAACTGAACTGGCTAAAAATGAAATGAGTTGAAAGTTTCATTCCAATATTCTTATCCCATGAATTTTTAAAGATATTTTTACTTGTTTCTGTTTGTCCTTCTATTATTCCTTGTATTTTTCTCTGATGTGTATTTTTTTCTCCCCTTCCCAGGAAATATTGGAAATTCTTTTACAATTGATCCTATCTTGGGCGCTATAAAAACTGCTAAAGAATTAGATCGAAGTAACCAAGTGGAATATGACTTAATGGTCAAAGCTACAGACCAAGGCAATCCACCAATGAGTGAAATGACTTCTGTGCATATCTTTGTCACAATTGCTGACAATGCCTCTCCTAAGTTTACATCAAAAGAATATTCTGTTGAAATTAGTGAAACCATCAGCATTGGGAGTTTTGTGGGGATAGTTACAGCCCATAGTCAGTCATCAGTGGTATATGAAATAAAAGATGGAAATATAGCTGATGCTTTTGATATTAATCCACACTCCGGAAGTATCGTCACTCAGAAAGCTCTGGATTTTGAAACTCTGCCCCTTTATACATTGACAGTACAAGGAACTAACATGGCTGGGCTGTCCACTAATACAACTGTTCTGGTGCATCTACAGGATGAGAATGACAACTCACCAGTTTTTATGCAGACGGAATATATAGGACTCATTAGTGAATCAGCTTCAATTAACAGTGTGGTCCTAACAGACAAGAATGTCCCACTGGTGATTCGAGCAACTGATGCTGATAGAGAATCAAATGCTTTGCTTGTTTATCACATTGTTGAACCATCTGTACACAAATATTTTGCTATTGATTCTAGCACTGGGGCCATTCATACAGTACTAAGTTTGGACTACGAAGAAACAAGCATTTTTCACTTTACTGTACAAGTTCATGACATGGGAACACCACGTTTATTTGCAGAATATGCGGCGAATGTGACTATACATGTAGTTGACATTAATGACTGTTCTCCTGTGTTTTCTCAATCCTTATATGAAGCATCTCTCTTGTTGCCAACATACAAAGGAGTAAAAGTCATCACTGTAAATGCTACAGATGCTGATTCAAGTGCATTCTCACAGTTAATGTACTCCATCACCGAAGGCAACATTGGGGAGAAGTTTTTTATGGACTACAAGACTGGTACTATAACCGTACAGAACACAACTCAGTTAAGAAGCCGCTATGAGTTAACCATTAGAGCTTCTGATGGCAGATTTGCCAGCTTTACTTCTGTGAAAGTTAATGTGAAAGAAAGCAAAGAAAGTCAGCTAAAGTTTACCCAAGATTTCTACTCTGCAAAAGTTATGGAGAATTCCACTGAAGCCAAGACATTAGCTGTCATTACTGCTATTGGGAATCCGATCAATGACCCTTTGTTTTACCATATCCTGAACCCAGATCGCCGATTTAAAATAAGCCGCACTTCAGGAGTACTGTCGACCACGGGTATACCATTTGATCGTGAACAGCAGGAGGCATTTGATGTAGTTGTAGAAGTGACAAAAGAGCATAAACCTTCAGCTGTGGCCCACGTTGTTGTGAAAGTTACTGTAGAAGACCAAAATGATAATGCACCCGTGTTTGTCAACCTTCCCTACTATGCTGTTGTTAAGGTGGATACTGAGGTGGGCCATGTCATTCGCTATGTGACTGCTATAGACAGAGATAGTGGCAGAAATGGGGAAGTGCATTACTATCTCAAGGAACATCATGAACACTTTGAAATTGGGCCGTTGGGTGAGATTTCATTGAAAAAACAGTTTGAACTCGACACCTTAAATAAAGAATACCTTGTCACAGTCATTGCAAAAGATGGTGGAAACCCAGCTTTTTCAGCTGAAGTCATCGTTCCAATCACTGTTATGAATAAAGCCATGCCCGTGTTTGAAAAACCTTTCTACAGTGCAGAGATTCCAGAGAATATCCAGATGCACAGCCCAGTTGTCCACGTGCAGGCCAACAGCCCAGAAGGGTTGAAGGTGTTCTACAGCATCACAGAGGGAGACCCTTTTAGCCAGTTTTCTATTAACTTCAATACAGGAGTTATAAATGTCATAGCTCCTCTGGATTTTGAGTCCCACCCAGCATATAAACTGAGCATCCGAGCAACTGACTCCTTGACTGGGGCTCATGCTGAAGTCTTTGTTGACATAATAGTGGAAGATATCAATGACAACCCGCCTGTGTTTGTTCAGCAGTCTTACGCAGCAACCCTGTCTGAGGCATCTGTAATTGGAACATCTGTGATTCAAGTTAAAGCAACAGATTCTGATTCAGAACCAAATAGAGGAATTTCATACCAGATGTTTGGAAATCATAGCAAGAGTCATGATCATTTTCACATAGACAGCAGCACTGGTCTTATTTCACTAGTCAGAACTTTGGATTATGAACAGTTCCAACAGCATAAGATTTTTGTAAGGGCTGTTGATGGCGGCATGCCCCCACTGAGCAGTGACGTGATTGTCACTGTGGATGTCACTGACCTCAACGATAATCCACCACTCTTTGACCAACAGGTTTATGAAGCCAGAATTAGTGAGCATGCTGCTCATGGGCATTTTGTGATGTGTGTGAAGGCCTATGATGCAGACAGTTCAGACAGAGATAAGTTGGAGTATTCCATTCTGTCTGGCAATGATCATAAGAATTTTGTCATTGACAGTGAAACAGGGATTATCACACTCTCAAACCTGCGCCGGCACACCTTGAAGCCATTTTACAGTCTTAACGTTTCTGTTTCTGATGGAGTTTTCAGAAGTTCAGCTCAGGTTCATGTAACTGTAATTGGAAGCAATTTTCACAGTCCTGTTTTTCTTCAGAATGAATATGAAGTGGAACTAGCTGAAAATGCCCCCTTACATACCCTGGTGATCGAGGTTAAAGCAACCGATGGGGACTCTGGTATTTATGGTCAAATTACTTACCACATTATAAATGACTTTGCCAAAGACAGGTTTTACACAAATGAGAGGGGGCAGATATTTACTTTGGAAAAACTTGATCGGGAAACCCCAGCAGAGAAGGTAATCTCAGTTCGTTTAATGGCCAAGGATGCTGGAGGAAAAGTTGCTTTCTGCACCATTAATGTTATCCTTACAGATGACAATGATAATGCACCACAGTTTCGAGCAACCAGGTATGAAGTGAACATAGGATCCAGTGCTGCAAAAGGGACTTCGGTTGTCAAAGTTATTGCAAGTGACGCTGATGAGGGATCCAATGCTGATGTCACCTATGCTATTGAAGCAGAATCTGAAAGTGTTAAGGAGAATTTGGAAATTAACAAACTCTCTGGTGTAATAACTACAAAAGAAAGCTTAATTGGCTTAGAAAACGAGTTCTTCACTTTTTTTGTTAGAGCTGTAGATAATGGGTCTCCCCAAAAAGAATCTGTAGTTCCTGTTTATGTCAAAATACTTCCACCAGAAATGCAGCTTCCGAGATTCTCAGAACCATTTTATACCTACACAATTTCGGAAGACATGCCTATTGGCACAGAGATAGATCTCATCCGGGCAGAACATAGCGGCACCATCCTTTACAGCCTGGTCAAAGGGAATACTCCTGAAAGTAACAGGGATGAGTTCTTCGTGATTGACAGACAGAGTGGGCGGCTGAAGCTGGAGAAGAGTCTTGATCATGAGACAACTAAGTGGTATCAGTTTTCCATACTTGCCAGGTGCACTCACGATGACTATGAGGTGGTGGCTTCAGTCGATGTTAGCATCCAAGTGAAAGATGCCAACGACAACAGCCCGGTCTTGGAGTCCAGTCCGTACGAGGCATTTATCGTTGAAAACCTGCCAGCAGGAAGCCGTGTCATCCAGATTCGGGCGTCTGATCTAGACTCGGGTACCAACGGCCAAGTCATGTACAGTCTCGATCAGTCACAGGGTGTAGAAGTCATCGAGTCTTTTGCCATTAACATGGAGACAGGCTGGATTACAACTCTGAAGGAACTTGACCACGAAAAGCGAGACAATTACCAGATCAGAGTGGTTGTGTCAGATCATGGTGAGAAGGTTCAGCTGTCCTCCACCGCCATTGTGGATGTTACTGTCACAGATGTCAACGACAGCCCACCACGATTCACAGCAGAGATTTATAAAGGAACTGTGAGTGAAGATGATCCCCCAGGTGGGGTAATTGCCATCTTAAGTACCACCGATGCTGATTCTGAAGAGATAAACAGACAGGTTACATATTTCATAACAGGTAAAAAAAATTCAGATCAAATGGTTTAATTTAAAATTAAACTTTATTAGAAATACAAATTCTGCAGTATGAATTTTATGGAAATTGGAATGGAAAGTGGTGATTTTTAGTTACAATATCTAAAATAAGTAGAAATGATATCTTATATTTCAGATTCTTAGCAGAGTTAACAGTTGTTTCATTAAGCATTATTTTTTATGGCTCTGTTGAACTTTATACTTAATATATAGTAGCAGCACTAAAAAGAAATAACTGTAGATTAATAATTATTGTTGAGTCTTTATATTTTATTTGCTGTATATTCTATTTACCTTTTTTGTAAATAGCAGCTAATCTATGCCAAATTTAAATTAATAATTTTAATACTTAATTTTTTGAAACCATAACATTGTGTTTCTTGTTTACAGTTTAATTTTCTTGTTACCTGTTTCTCCTTTTATTTCAACAAATTTGAGTGTCATATTCTGTCATTGATTTAATAGGAGGTGATGCTTTGGGACAATTTGCTATTGAAAATGTGCACAATGAATGGAAGGTCTATGTGAAGAAACCTCTAGATAGGGAAAAAAGGGACAACTATCTTCTGACCATCACAGCAACTGATGGCACATTTTCATCAAAAGCTATAGTTGAAGTGAAAGTACTTGACGCAAATGACAACAGTCCAGTTTGTGAAAAGGTAGGCCCCTCTTTCCTAATGTGTGTGTAATAAATTAAATTTCTGTCTTAACCCTTTCAATAGGACTGTCACTTGATGCTGTGCTGTAATTAAAATGTGTTTCATGTTATAATTGCTTACTGTTTAAACAGAGGTGTTAAATGGGTGAAGATTTGAAAAAACTTAACTTTTGAGGAATGCTAAATAGGGCAAAAAACTCATTCTAAGAAACTGTAGATTGTGGTCAAGGTTACATGGTATCTGACCCTAAAAGTACTTTATAAACTCTTCATGAAGGGGTTTTCTATACCTAGGGAAAAAGTGACTGGGGGAGAGAGGCGGGATATTATCTCTAACAGATCATTTTGGGGGTACTTTTTGTACACACTAGAGAAACCGAGAGGTTAGTGATACGGCTCCTGCTCCTTTAAAGGAGCGCCTCATTTAATGAGAGAACAAAGTATAGAGCAAAGAAGGGCTCTTTCCCTCTGAAGCTTAAGTTGAGGATGTGACGGGAGCAAACGTGGTCACTGGAGCTACGGGGAGAGGAAGAGCCATGCAGAGACAAGGCTTAGGCTGAGGTCTGAGAGGGAGTGATTAGATGATCAAGAGGAGAAGTGAAAGGGCAGGCGGCGTGAGCCATAGTTGCAGATGTGGGAATGGTAACTTGGTTTGCCAGAAGTGGAGAATATGTCATGGGAAAGAAATTTGGGGAAGAGAGCAGTGAAGGTTCATTCCAGGGAATGTTTACTCTGTCCTAAACAAAATAAATTCTTTGAATCCTTTTACAATTCAGAGATGGAGATAACATGAACCAAGAGTTCCTTAATGAAGTTCAATTGGTGTTATTGTGTCCATTATTTAGATAAGGAAGAGTGAAAGATAATAGGACAGGCAGAAGTGACAGAAGGAATAAAAGGAGAAGCTGGTAGCGTTCAGTCCCTGCCCTGTGTGACAGGCTGGCAAGTGTACTGAGTTAAGGCTGATTTTAATATTGTTGGAGAAAGACCCTGGCAATGACAAAGATAAGCCTGGAAGGGAATTGGTTTTAGAGGAAGTATATTGAGTTTCATTTCAGATTTGTTCTTTTTAAGGTAATGAGATAATGAGTTAAACTGTTTTTTTAGAGATGGTAAGATAAGGATGGATATTAGGGGGAAATATGTAAACTTGGCAGTTTCTGTAGATAGTTGATAATGGATTTATTTGAGATGTTATCAACAAAATGGGGGAAAAGGGGAGATGGCTATTTCCAAAGGGAGAGGGAAGCAGAGACGGAAGACAGACAATGACACTGATGCAGTGCCATTGAGAGTGAAGGAGAAGAGAGTTTCTATGAGCTAGGGTGACAGGCAGAGTTGTGACATCACTGGAAAAGATGGGTGAGGCAGGTGGCAGACCATTTGGGTTCTGCGACTGACTTGGAGATGGTGGTGCCAGGATTGTGATGTGCATGGACACTTGAGTGGGATTCAAGAGGATGCATTAATGAAGAGTGATCTTGGGCTAGCCAAGAAGGTGGAAAGTGAAGGATGGAAGAAGAATGGTGAAGACTTGGCCAGGTGGAAGGGAAAGTGATGGTGAAGAGGGACAGAGGAGCTGGAGAAGGCTGCACGGTGAGGAAGCATGAAATAATATTGTAGCTGTGGGAAGTAACAGCTGCTCTCGCCGACATGCCTACTGAAGATTCAGCCATGAAGGGGAGGGGCATCTGAGGGATGAGGAGCTAATTTCAGATGTGAATATGTACCTCTTGTGAACATGGATTATGAATGGGAATAGATTACCTCTTCTAAAAACCAAATGTGTATATATTGTCACTTTTCACCCCTTTCATATTATTTGGAACTGATACAATAGTTTTGGGAATAACAAAAGGACACTAGATACTTGAAGTCATCAGTGTTGCAACATGTTCTGTGTCGTAAAATATAGCTCACCTGTAATTGAACTTCTGCTAAGAAAGTGAATTCAGGAAGCTGTTAATCTATTGCTCTTCGGGTTTCATTTATGGCATGGGTTCCTGAATAATTGGAACTGGAAACAGTAGTTGGTTAAGTTTGAGAGTTAGGGCAGGTGTGAGGAAAGGAATCAAACAGTAACAGCAGGGCTTGAGCCTTGCCTATCCTCTAGGGAGTCAGAGAATCCTTGTTTTCTCTCACAACACAAAGATTTCTTCTCTTCCAACCACAATTATTTGGTGGTACATTAGGAATAATCACATGCAATAGATTCCTATATTTGAAAATAAGTGGAAATGATGTAACAGGTATTTATTCTGTCTAATTTCTAGGTAGGTGAGGAACACTACTTAAATTTTGTCCTAAGAATTAAAACTGAGCTAAAGATGAAACCGACTCAGTGGCATACTCAGTGTTGTGTTGGTTAAATGTCCTGCCAGTCTCCTTCAGGGATATAGTGTTGGGAACTGTTTGCGTGGCATTTCCTTGTTTTACATGTGTACTGCATGAAAATTAGTTTTAAAAACTCTATGGTTTTTAATTGCCCGGGTTTTCTGTGGCCTAAGTTAAATGTCTTTTTCATTATTTCTTTGACAGCCAGGCTGATTTTTAATGTTTTTACACTAATGACATTGTTTGGAATCTTTCTAGACTTTATATTCAGACACCATTCCTGAAGACACTCTTCCTGGGAAATTGATCATGCAAGTCTCTGCTACAGATGCAGATATCCGGTCCAATGCTGAAATCACCTACACGTTATCTGGTGCTGGTGCAGAAAAATTCAGACTAAATCCAGACACAGGTAGTGATGTGGACTGACACACATAACTGTGTATTTTAACAAAATTATGTAGGGGGGTGATTTTAGATCATATATAAAATCTTAAATTACATTTTATCTTTTTCAAATTTATTCTGATGCTTTGGAATTGATATTTTAGAAATCTAAATAGTAATCGAGATTGTAAAATTTAGGGTGAGGTGGAAAGTGTAACATTGACAGTATTGCTACTTGAATTGAGGAGTTGAAATTTAGAAATAGCTACTAAATTTTTTTAAAAAGATTCAGGCATTAAAATATATCACATACTTTCTGTTTTATCCATCATGCTGTCTACTCTTAGCATATTTTCTTGAATTTGTGAACATAAATTTATAGTTTTATTTTCATAAGACAGAATTCCTCATTTTTATTCATTTTTAAATTGACTTTTGTTTCTCCTGCAATTTTGTTGAAATTGGGATCAGTTTTCTAATATTAAGCCTTTTAATTTTTCTTCTGAAGAATTAACTGTGAACTTATGAATCCAATTTTGGAGAATATTAAAAAAATTATTTGTTAACTTAGGTAGTTGTTTTTCTTTTGCAACACTATATGTAATATAAGAGGCCCCTGGCCTCAGATCTGTATGGCTTTAAAGAGCTAGCCTGGCAGGGTTTGAAAAACTGCTTGTAGTCCTTGTCTGTAAGCCTGCTGAACAGGGGTCTTTCTGTTTTCTACCTGTCATACTCTAGTGGAGCAGTAAGCCTGTGGCTATAAAATAAATTAAAAATGTGTTATTTCAAAGGAAGGAAGGTAGAAAGGAGGATGGAGAGGGAGGGAAGTATCATTATATTTTTAATATTCTATCTATGAACTATGTGTTCCCTTTATATTATTAAAAAAGAATAAAGGAAATAAAGAAGAAACAATGTAGACTCAGTGTGCTCCTGCAGCTGTGAGTCTTGACACTGGTGACACTGTGCTCTGGAGGAAAGCCCTCACTCTGAAAAAGGGAGGACATAAGATGCACAGTTGCTGTTCACATCTTAGATTTCAAGTGAATTCACTTACTTTTGTTTGTTTTTAGGTGAACTGAAAACATTAGCCCCCCTTGATCGTGAGGAACAAGCAGTTTATAATCTTCTAGTCAAGGCCACAGATGGAGGTGGAAGATTTTGTCAAGCCAATATTGTGCTCACACTAGAAGATGTGAATGATAATGCACCTGAATTCTCTGCTGATCCATACACCATCACTGTGTTTGAGAACACAGAACCTGGAACACTGTTGACAAGAGTGCAGGCCACAGACGCAGATGCAGGTACCCTGTAGAAGTGTGGATCCTAACACTGCCCACTGAGATCTTGGGAATTTCTGTGTTGACACATATCCCAGATTCAGCCTCTGTAACTCTTTGTGCATGTTGAATAGCTCATCATGTGGGTAGAATGAAGTCATTAGGATACTCAGGGTTTTTTTTCTTTTAATTTATTTATTTGAAAGACAAAGTTAGAAAGGGAGAGACAAAAGAGATAAAGAGAGATCCTCCACTCATGTGCAATGGCCAGTTTGAAACCAGGAGCCTGGAACTCCATTCAGGTCTCCCTTGTGGATGGCAGGGACCCAAGTACTTAGGGAGGACATCTTCTGCTGCTTTCCCAGGCTCATTCGCAAGGAGCTAGATCAGAAGTGGGGCAGCTGCAGCTTGAACCTGTGTACGTATGAGACGCCAGTATCACAGGCGGCATCTTCACTCACTGTCCCTCAACACCAGCCCCTCAAGTCAGCTTTAATGAGTGTTTATAATCTCGAAGTTGCTCCTAGTGACCATACTGAGTCAGGTATTTATGGTGGCACTAAAATCAGTGGCTTTATTAATTAATATGGAGATTAATTATTATTTTGTGACTAAACCACTGGTTACATAAAGAAGTTTTGATATAATAGAAACATAACAAACAAATACTGTTGTATAAATTTCATAAATCTTTCAAAATTTTTTATGGGGAAAATAAGACTAGGATATACGTTCATACCATTTTGATAACAGAATAAAGTGACTTCTTCAGACATACTAATGCTGAAGGAATCAGAAGAATGGTAGAAATGTTGCTTTTCAAATAATTATCACTGAAGCTCAATAGTAAATTTCAGTTTAAAAGGTCTGTTAGGTACTATAATGTGGGCACCTGTATAAAATCTGTGAAATAATTGTTTTAATTCAGTATGTTGTTAATCTAAAACTTCGCTTTTTTCCAGATCATATTCATAAGAATTTTTAAATATGTGTACTTGCACATTCCCTTTTTAAATTAAGTTTAAATTCAGTGGTACAAACCCTTGTGATGTGATTTCATGTCTCAACAGGATTGAATCGAAAGATTTCCTACTCACTGATTAACTCTGCTGATGGACAGTTCTCCATTAATGAGTTATCTGGAATTATTCAGTTAGAAAAGCCTTTGGATCGAGAGCTACAGGCAGTGTATACTCTTACTTTGAAAGCTGTAGATCATGGTTTGCCAAGAAGGTTGACAGCTACTGGCACTGTGGTTGTATCAGTTTTGGATATAAACGACAACCCACCTGTGTTTGAATACCGCGAATATGGTGCCACAGTGTCTGAAGATATTCTTATCGGAACAGAAGTTCTGCAAGTGTATGCGGCAAGTCGGGATATTGAAGCAAATGCAGAAATCACCTATTCCATAATTAGTGGAAATGAACATGGAAAATTCAGCATAGACTCTAAAACAGGTAACTACTAAATAAATGAGAGGAAGCCCTTTTTTCTATACAAAAGTAGATTTGCCTTATTATTTTACCTTTTATGAAGTGACAGTTCACATAAATATCAGTAGATGTCCTAAAAAGGTAGAAGTCAAGTTTTCTTTTTTGCTGTTATTTAAAGTGGGATTAAAAGTGATTTTAAAGACTTAAGACTATAGACCTAGTTAATAAAATACATTTCTGGCATATCCCTTATAAGCTACAAGCAAATTAACTTAAAATATAAAACTGCAGTATTGCATACCATTGGTTGAGTAATGATGTGTGGTGTTGCAAGTTAGTAAAGATAAGAGCAGGTGATAGTAGGGGACTTGCATAAAAAATGTCTTTGTTCCCCCGTATCAAATTCCTCTGAAGGAGCTTCCCAAGTGAAACAGTGGGTTCGCCTCTTTGATCTTGGTTTCCACAGTGGATATCTGATAGCTGATTAAATTGACTTCTTTATAATAGTTATGTATGTAACAGTTGAGATACTTCAAATCACACAGAAAGATTATCTACAAGGTCGAAAGTGATAGGACCTGCTGACTTTTGCTGCACAAGTACTTTTGTAGTCTAAAATAGCTGTGTCTTTGAACATTGTAAAAAATTGTTGCATTCGGATTTTGTGACTCCTGTGTGTGTCATGTAAAGAATAAATGTCTGGTGATGTTATTTTAAAACATTTTTAATAGATATCATGCAATTACTATTTTTAGGGCTCTTTTACCCCCTTCTCTTTTTGATTAGGATGAGCATAATGAAGTGAATTGGAAAGACATTAAAGGGATTGTGAAATCAGAAATTTCTAAGAATAAGACACAATAAGTAAAGGGATTTTTTAAAAGAGATTAAATAAAAGGATATATATCCCTATTTTAAAAAATATGGAAAGAAAAGGAAACTAAAAGGCACTAAAGAATTTTTTTGTTTTTTGTTTATTAAACTCTAGTGAAATGTTGTTTAGAAAAGATAGGAGATAAAATACATAAATGGTAAGTGAACTTTGGAAGTAAGAACTGAGTTTGTTTAGCAGTTTCAGTTATGATAGGAAAAAGTGTTGCCTTTATAAAGTATTGGGGAGGTAATTTTGATTTTCCTTACAGGGGCCATATTCATTATTGAGAATCTGGATTATGAAAGCTCTCACGAATACTACCTGACTGTAGAAGCTACTGATGGAGGCACACCCTCATTAAGTGATGTTGCGACTGTGAATGTCAACGTAACAGACATCAATGATAACAGCCCGGTGTTCAGCCAGGACACCTACACAGCCGTGATCAGTGAAGATGCCGTTCTTGAACAGTCTGTTGTTACAGTGTGTATTTTTCTCTCTGTGGTTTTCTGGATAGTTTTAAGAGCCTTGAATAAAATTGATCCAGTTTTTAAATTGACCTTATTTGAAAAAATTTGGAGATGAGAAAATAGTTTTTAGTCTATCAACTACTGACTTCATTATAATTTTCTCAAAGTAGACGCTATATTGGAAATTTGTCTTAACAGACTCCTGTGCCACCTTTAGCCGTCTCCTAAACAGAAGTGTGACATTTTCTAGGTTATGGCCGATGATGCTGATGGACCTTCAAACAGCTATATCCACTATTCAATTATAGATGGCAATCAGGGAAGCCCGTTTACAATTGACCCTGTGAAGGGAGAAGTAAAAGTGACCAAACTTCTAGATCGGGAAACAGTAAGTGATTAAATTTGGTTTAAATTGTTTACAGGGTCTAAGTGTGATCGTGCAGGAGGTTAAGCCACTGTTTGGGATGCCTGCATCTCATGTTGGTGTACCTGGTTCATGTCCTGGCTACTCTGTTCTTCTGATCCAGCTTCCTGCTCATGCATTCTTGGAAGCATTGGATGATGCCTCAAGTACTTGGAACCCTGCCACTCACATAAGAGACTCAGATTACTGAGTTCTAGGCACCTGGCATCAGCCTGACCCAGCCCTGGTTGCTGTTACAGGCCCTTAGGGAGTAAACTAGCAATAGAAGATGAACTGGCCCCTACCCCTCCATGTCTCCCTCTTTCTTACTCTCCCCTTCTCTGCCTTACAAGCAGATGAAAAATAAATAAATGCTAAAAAAAACATTTTAAAAGCCTGTTTACAAATTCCCAATTTAGTAAAATAGAAGGGCTTTGTGTTCGTATATGTTGGGTGATTTGGTGAAGACCAATATGATGTTACCAGTCTTCTCATGACTGTAATTACTTGAAAAGAAATTACAGTATGAGAATCTCAACAAAGAACAGAAGCAATATATTTCATACTGATGAAGTTTGGGTAGTAAAAGTTTGTAGAAAGGGGCCGGCGCCGCGGCTCACTAGGCTAATCCTCCGCCTAGCGGCGCCAGCACACTGGGTTCTAGTCCCGGTCGGGGTGCCGGATTCTGTCCCGGTTGCCCCTCTTCCAGGCCAGCTCTCTGCTGTGGCCTGGGAGTGCAGTGGAGGATGGCCCAAGTGCTTGGGCCCTGCACCCCATGGGAGACCAGGATAAGTACCTGGCTCCTGCCATCGGATCAGCACAGTGCGCCAGCCACAGCGTGCCGGCCGTGGCGGCCATTGGAGGGTGAACCAACGGCAAAGGAAGACCTTTCTCTCTTTCTCTCTCTCTCTCACTCTCTCACTGTCTACTCTGCCTGTCAAAAAAAAAAAAAAAAAAAAAGTTTGTAGAAAGGAAGAAGTTACTGTTGGAACCAGCATTCTCAGACCCTTCATGGAGCTAGAAGCTGAATTATAATTAATTGCAGAAATTTGGAAAACTAGAGGTTGAGAAAAGTGAAATTCTCTGTAAGGAATTACATGAACAAAGGCATGGAGATAGAACCTGTGGGATATATTTAGGGAGCTTCACCCAGTTGTATTGGAGTAAAGAAATCGTATAAGGAAGTAGAGAGAGAAAATAGAGAGATGTGTTAGGAATAGATGATGGGCCACAAAGAAAACCAGGATCTGAGGTTCAGAATTGATGCCCCAGGCATCAGGGAATTATTAAATATTGGTGAAGTAGGTCACAGCATGACGACATTATAGAAGATTGGTACTATAGTAGGTCTACGTACTTTTTAGCATAGTAGGAAGGCTGTGGACAATTGATCTGTTTGGAGGCAACAGAAGCCTGAATTGGGAAAACAGCGGTGAGCATTGAGTGAAAAGGCAAATGAAGAAACTTTGTGCAGGAAAAGTTAGAGTCCCAAAGCTGTGATACGGCCCTGCCTAGAAAGCAGTGAGTCAGAGGTGGCTTGATTTTCTCCCGTCTTGCTGTTCCTGGGTAGTACCATGAAAGAGAAGCAGGAGCGCTATGAGGCAGAGACTCGTAGGGGCTGGGAGAGATGAATGAATGTGGGCTTTGGTAATGCTGCTTTTTACAGGAAAATAGCATTCCAAGGAGGATCAGTCAGCCGTATTTGGAGCTGTTAGTCAGACTTAGGCACCTGAAACCTGGAAGTGTAGGTGTGGGCCATAGCCTGGAGAAGACCACAGAAGTGGCCTCAGGGATTGAGATGGATGTGAGCGGGTGAGCTGAGGTAAGCCCTGCTGACCCTCGCCCAGCCCGCTACCGCTGCCTGCACTCAGACTCTCCCAGAGGAAGGAAGAAACCGCCTCAGAGCAGCAGTGCGCTGAAGAATTGAAAGGAACCTTGGCTTTAGAGAGTAAAGGAGGTTGACCATAATGAAGCAGATGATTTCAGCAAAGATTAGAGGAATTTGGGCAGATGGTGTTGAGAGACCTCATTAAGGGCTCAATTCTGTCATTTCCTTTCAGGCCTGTTTTTGAGTAGGGACTTGCCGAGAGGTTAGGAAGCATGACTGCTCTGCCTGGCGTTGCCTGTGCTTCTGGGCAGAGTAGTGATTTTGGATGAAGAGCGGATCCTGTAATAGACTTGTATCCATTGGGGGATTGCTAAGGAGATAGCCTGTGGGCTTTCCCAAGCTGCTGCGCCCTCGGAACCCCCTTTGATTGGAGTGATTTGCAGGGCTAATGTTCTGCAGTGCATGCTCTGGGATTTAGCCATCGTTTTGACTTCTTCCACCACTCATTCTGGAAGAGAGCTGCCCGGGGAACTGCCCTGAGAAAGAAGCGATCTCACTTGTCTTCATTTCTTTTGTAGAAGATCATAAAGAGATAATCTTGAGGGATTTAGACAGTGGAGTTTGGTCCAAGTGCAGAATCAAGACGGGTCTGGAGTATCCTGAGGTATTGGAAATGAGTCACCATCCGAGAGAGAGAGAGAGACCGAGACAGAGACAGCTAACGTCTGTCTAGTTCTGGCGAAGAGTGTAATTTAGTCCCCGGGGAAAGCTGCCTTCCATATTATTACTCATCTCAAATGCTGAAGCAGCAGCCTTTGAGATAGTAGTGTTAACTTTTTTTCAGATACTTAATATTACTTTGTGGCCTTAATTTCTGTTAATATGCAAAATTTTTAACATAAAGCACTTTTAACAAAATGAGCATGTTTTTTAGAGGCATCAGAGAATCTCATCATCACTGGTAACTTTTTCTTTTGAAAAAATGCCTGCTCTTTTCAGTACACTTGGTTGTAGGGAATGACCTACTTTTGGGACACAGCAAACAGTGGCAATTAATTGGGATCTGCCTTCCAGATTGTCAGGCAGACACTTCTGGTTTAAACCCTATGCATTGCTTGTGAAACGAACATGCATTCTCTGTCTTTTCCCTGGAAAGATTTCCGGTTACACACTCACGGTTCAAGCTTCGGACAATGGCAGTCCACCCAGAGTCAGCATGGCAACGGTGAACATCGATGTGTCTGATGTCAATGACAATGCCCCAGTCTTCTCCAAGGAAAACTACAGTGTAATCATCCAGGTGAGCCCGGGCTGCTGCACGGCTCATGGGACGCCTTGGAAATGAGCCCTTTCGTTGTCCTCGGTGGCTTGTGTGCAATAGCTTGCTTTTCCAAAGGCTGCTTTTTAGAAAAATAGGAAAAATAAAATTAAAGGCGTCTCTGTCAATATTTAACGATGAACATTTTCTAACAGTTCCCAAGCTTATATCCCTTCTTTTCATGCTTTGGTTTCGTGCTTTTGATTTCATGCTCACTGTCCTGGGAATCGTAAGCTTGTTTCCTAGTCATATGTTCTGCCCCTGTCGCTTCCCCTCCTTGCGACTTCTTCCCTCCCCTTCTCATCACCACCCCTGCTGCCCGACATTGCTCTCACACACATACCCTCCTCCCTGGCCCTGTCTTTTGTCCTAGCTCCTGCTTGCCCACCAGCCATCCCTTTCCCTCCACCTCTCTTCTCTTTCAGGTGGAGCAGCTTTGTTTCTGTGTATTTTTTTTTTTTTGTTACAGAGAATGCACATGTGTCTCTTGCCATTTGGTTGTGTTGATTTTGCCTTGTTTTTAATTTTGTGCAGGAAAACAAGCCTGTGGGCTTCAGTGTGCTGCAGCTAGTGGTGACAGACAAGGATTCTTCTCACAATGGCCCGCCCTTCTTCTTTTCCATTGTAAGTGGAAATGATGACAGAGCATTTGAAGTGAGCCAGCAAGGGGTCCTCTTGACAGCAGCTGCCATCGACAGGAAGGCGAGGGACCACTACCTGCTGCGGGTGAAGGTATTTCAGCTTTCTTTGTGGGTTTCTTGTGGCTTCCTGAGAAGAGCTGCTGGGTGGCAGCTACCTGGTCACCTTTGAACATCTCACCTTTCATGAAAAAACAAACATTTATAAAGTGGTGGCCTGTGTTTTTGTCCCACTGCACTTTGAGGGGGCTCACTCATTCATTTGGTTGCTTTGTCACCGACATTCAGAGAGCTGGGCTTCAGTGGGAGTTAGTGACAGAGCTGTAAACAAATGATTTGTCCCTTCTTGGATTTGCTTCTGCTGTGGAAAAATGCATTGCTTAACACTGGAAATGCATTGTCAGGTGATGTTGTCGCCATGGAGACACCAGAGTGCACTTACATAAATCTAGATGGTGTAGGCACATCACTCAACTTGGCCTCTTGGTGCAATTAAGAAATGTGGTAAACCGGCTGTGAGGAAGGCCGGCACTGTAGTGTAGTAGGTTAAGCCTCTACCTGTAGTGCCCACATCCCAGATGGGTGCTGGTTTGAGTCCTGGCTACTCCTCTTCCGATCCAAATCTCTGCTAATGGCCTGGGAAAACAGTGGTAGATGGACCAAGTGTTGGGGCTTTCTGCACCTGTGTGCGAGATCTAGAAGAAGTTCCTGGCTCCTGGCATAGGATTGGCCTAGCTCTGCAGTTGCAGCCATCTAGGGAGTAAACCAGTGGATGGAAGACCTTCCTCTCTGTCTCTCCCTTTCTCTGTCTGTGACTCTGCTTCTCAAATAAGTAAATAAAATATAAGGAAAAAGAAAGACTATAAGGCTAGTGCTGGCATAACATGGTTTAGTATTTTACAGACAACTTTTTTTCTATATATAAGACAAAGGAGTATTCTGAAATAACAATAAAAACATTGTAAATACATAATCCATTAACATAGTCATTTATCTTCATTGTCAAGTACAATGTACTATGATTGACAGTACAGAAATTTTGCACCAGTATCACCACAGTATGATTAATGTGAATACTGTGTTATGTTGTGAGTGTAGCTACAGCATCACTAAGCAATAGGGATTTATCATCTCCTTTATAATCTTATGGGGCCATCATCATATTTTCAGTCCGTCTTTAATGGAAGAATTGTTACACATGACTGGAATCATCTAACAATGGTGTTGTTTTAGAACTTGAACACTGTAAATATATTTATTAAGACATAGACAAAAGTGATTTCCTGTTTCTTTTCTCATAGGTGGCAGATAATGGAAAGCCACAGTTGTCATCTTTGACATATGTTGATGTTCGGGTTATTGAGGAGAGCATCCATCCTCCTGCAATTTTGCCACTGGAGATTTTCATTACTGCTTTTGGAGAAGAATATTCAGGTGGCGTCATTGGGAAGATCCATGCAACAGACCAAGATGTCTATGACACTTTAACCTATAGTCTTGACCCCCAAATGGATAGCCTCTTCTCTGTTTCGAGCACTGGGGGTAAGCTGATAGCACACAAAAGACTAGATATAGGACAGTACCTTCTCAACGTCAGTGTAACAGATGGAAAGTTTACAACGGTGGCTGACATCACAGTGCATATCAGGCAAGTGACACAGGAGATGTTGAACCATACCATTGCCATCCGCTTTGCCAATCTCACTCCGGAAGAATTTGTTGGTGACTATTGGCGCAACTTCCAGCGAGCTTTAAGGAACATCCTGGGCGTGAGGAGGAATGATGTACAGATTGTGAGTCTGCAGGCCTCTGAGCCTCACCCACATCTGGATGTCTTACTTTTTATAGAGAAATCAAGTAGTACCCAGGTTTCAACAAAACAACTTCTGCACAAGATTAATTCTTCTGTGACTGACATTGAAGAAATCATTGGTGTTAGGATCTTGGATGTATTCCACAAGCTCTGTGCAGGACTGGAGTGCCCCTGGAAATTCTGTGATGAAAAGGTGTCTGTGGATGACAATGTCATGTCAACACACAGCACGGCCAGGCTGAGTTTTGTGACTCCTCGACACCATAGAACAGCTGTTTGTCTCTGCAAAGGTAATGCACGTATGTCTATGAAAATAAGTGTTATAGATGACTTCGTGTGTGGCCTTCAGTGGTGTACATGGAAGGTCATTTTCTTGAAATTCCTGTTGTCTCCCCTGTCACAACATTCTTTTCTTTAATTAAAGAGGGAAAATGCCCACCTGTTCACCATGGATGTGAAGACCATCCCTGCCCCGAGGGATCTGAATGTATCACTGACCCCAGAGAGGAGAAGTACACCTGTGTCTGTCCTGGAGGCAAATTTGGTCAGTGCCCAGGTGAGAACGCAATGATTAAGCTTACATCTATTTTTTAAGAAGTCACTTTTCAAAGTTTTTCATAATTTTCTTCTTTATTAGAATCAAAAAGCATTGTATAATATGTTATAACAAATCAAATGTAGAAATGAAGAGGGACAGCAGTAACTTTTCTTCCTGACTCAAAATGACACCCTTGAGTTCGAGGCTTGTGTCCTTGTTCTGCATCATCCATGCTTACATAAACATGTAGATAGCTAGATAGATAAAAGATATATATTTAGATAGATTATCTATCTATATCTGTCTATTTATCAGCTTTGTTTATTTGAAAGTAGAGTAACACAGAGAGACTTTCCATTTGCTGGCTTACTTCTCAAATACCTGCAATAGCAAAGGCTGGGCCAGGCCAGAGCCAGGAGGCAGCAACTCCATCTGAGGCTCCCACATAAGTGGCAGAGGTCCAAGCACTTGAGCCTTTATCCATTGCCTTCCAAGGCAGTTAGCAGATAGCTATATTAAAAGCAGAGTTGCTGAGACTCGAACCAGCAGGTTCCTAAGGGATTTGGAGTTCCCAAAAGGCGGCTTAGCCTGCTTTCCCTCAACACCTGCCCCAATTGGGCCCTATATTAAAGGGCTATTTTTTTCTCTCTCATTTGCTGATTTCTTTCTTTCTTTTTTTTTAAATGTCTTATTTATTTTATTTGGAGGTTAGATTGTGAGAGAAACTTTCACACCCCCAAATGCCTGCAACAGCCAGGCCTGGACAGCCAAAGGCAGGAGCTAGGAATTCCATCCTAGTTTCCCATGTGGGCAGCAGGGAGCCAACTACTTGAGCCATCACGTGCTGCCAGATAGCTGGAGTAAGGAGCCAACTCGGGACTTGAACCTTGGAACTCTGATATGGGATGTGAGCATCCTCAGCAACATCTTAATCATTGTACCAGATGTGCATCATTTCCTCTGCTTACTGAAAAAAAAATCACAACTCAAGAGTGATTATATGTCACACAGTCCTGTATCTCTTGCATTTTGCCTTCAATTATTGGTATATTAAAGGCATCCTTCCAAGCCCCTGCACATAAACCTGATTCTTTTTAATAAGTATATACTATTCTAGCATGCCTAGCATGATGATGCCATTATTAATTCAGCATTTTTCTTATATGTAGAGATGCCAGTTGTTATACTGTTTTCCATTTAAGAAAATCCTTGTATATGTACCTTTACATCTGGTGCTTTCATTTTTGTATAATAGGGACAATAAAAATAGGATTTGCTTTGCTATAACTAACTATAAATTTTTATAGATACATAAGTCAGTTTCCCCCAAACTGGTGCCAATTCCTATTTCTTCCAGTCACATACAAGTTTCTCATTCCCCATTCTGTTGCCAGTATTGGAAGTTTTCAATTAAAAATGAATTATCCTCATTCAGTGAATTATTCTCATTCAGAGAATGATATCCAGTTATTATTTTAACTTGTATTTCTTTGACTACTTGTGACCATTGTCTTTTCTTTTGTTCTTCGAATATTAGCGCTTATCTTGTGTGGCCTTGTCTGTTCATATTGTTTGATTGTCTCTTTCTTTTTCAGTGTGTAGAGGTCTTTGTGTATTTTGAGTCTTAACATTCCTAGCATTCCAGTTTCTCCCATCTATTTATTAATGGGTTTTTGACTTATTAAGTAGGCCTTTTATCTTTTTGAAATTTAATTTTTGTTTAGTCCTGCATAATTTTACATAGCAATTCCATCTCTGGAGATGATACCATTTCATCACCTTTGGGGAGTGAGGATTTTTATATTGTGGTTGGAAGTTTCCCAAGCCACCTTGAGATAAGTAGGTATTTTCAGAAATTGTATTCTAATACTTTTATACTGAACAGTTTTCTATTTAGAGCTTTCATTGTTTTAGAATTCTCTTCTCTGTGGTACAGTAGTCTAGCTTACTCTCTTCAAATGGAGAGCCAGGAAAGCTATGCTGTTTATTTAACAACATTTCCCATGGAGTTGAATTTGATCATGTTAAACTTTTAAGTAAGAACTTAGTGTCTTAGAGGGAACAATTATACATTAAAAAACATGCTTAAATTTGGTTTTGATTTACTTATTCTTCTTTGTGATCCACAGGAGGTTCATCTCTGACATTTACTGGCAACAGTTTTGTGAAATATCGTCTAATGGAAAATGAGAACAAATTGGAGATGAAATTAACAATGAAGCTCAGAACCTACTCTACACATGCAGTTGTAATGTATGCCCGAGGAACTGACTACAGTATCTTAGAGGTATGTATTTATAGAGTTCTGTGGCTCAGGTTGTGGAAGACTTTGAAAGTATAAACTTCATCTTAGGTTTAGATTGTTGTCCATTAACAAGAGTGAAATGGATGAATTCTACATTTAAATAGTTTATTCATACCTGTATAAGTTTTTGATTTTGAAATGATAAAGGTCTTTTTGCCTTGCAGTAACAGATTTATTTTTTTTAGCTATAGATTTTGGTACATATGACAGTTAATCTTCAAACTCTAGATAGGATCACATCTTACTAGTTTTACAGAGAGTTTATAGAGATCCTACATACGCTTGATGTGTTGTACCTTCCTGTTTTTTTTAACACGATTTGGTTTTGGTGTTACCTGATGCTGCGTATGTGTGTGTGCTAGCAGTCAATTATTTGTTACTTCCCTGATGTCTTGGGGAGGTATGGTTGGCACTTAAACTTTGATATCCCTAAAATATCCATTTTTTTACTTGTACAATGGACAAATGAGTATGTACCTCTATAGTATTTAAATACAAGGACTTCTTGCTACCTCCCTTTGCTAAACAGACCTCTCTCGTAGGTTCTTGATCAGAGATTATAACTGACGGTTCACTGAGAGCAATGTGAATAATAATTGTTTTTATCCTAGATTCATAATGGAAGACTGCAATACAAATTTGACTGTGGAAGTGGCCCTGGGATTGTTTCTGTTCAGAGCATTCAAATCAATGATGGGCAGTGGCATGCAGTATCTCTTGAAGTGAATGGAAACTATGCTAAGTTGGTTCTCGACCAAGTTCACACAGCGTCAGGCACAGCCCCAGGGACTCTGAAAACCCTAAATCTGGATAACCATGTGTTTTTTGGTGGCCACGTCCGTCAGCAAGGATCAAGGCATGGAAGAAGCCCCCAAGTTGGTAATGGTTTCAGAGGTTGTATGGACTCCATCTTTTTGAATGGACAGGAGCTTCCTTTAAACAGCAAACCAAGAAGCTATGCACACATTGAGGAGTCAGTGGAAGTATCTCCTGGGTGCTTATTAGCAGCTACGGAAGACTGTTCAAGTAACCCATGTCAGAACGGAGGTGTTTGCCACCCGTCACCTGCTGGAGGTAGGCTTTAAAATGTTACACAGGAATACATTTAAGAGGGAGTTTCCCAAATACTTTTCTTTTTTATTTAAATGAGATTGGCAGATTTGCCCGCCGGCCGTGTTGGAGTTGAGTGGGGTATTTTGTTGGAGAGCTGAGCAGGGCTTGTGTTTCTTCCCAGGGCAGCTCATCTGCCTGCTGAGCATGCGCAGTCCTGTCTGCAGCCCTGCTGTGGCACTTGAGCAGGATGTATTTCCACGCTCATTCCATTCTGCACCAGCAACCACCGGCTCTTCTTCCAACTCCATAGGCATTGACCCTTAGGCAATTTAGAATTAGTGCTGTTGACTCTTCTTTGTTCTTTCTTTCTTTCTTTCTTTTTTTTTTTTTTTTTTTGACAGGCAGTGTGGACAGTGAGAGAGAGAGAGAGAAAGGTCTTCCTTTTGCCGTTGGTTCACCCTCCAATGGCGCCGCGGCCGGCGCACTGTGGCCTGCGCACTGCACTGATCCGAGGGCAGGAGCCAGGTACTTCTCCTGGTCTCCCATGGGGTGCAGGGCCCAAGTACTTGGGCCATCCTCCACTGCACTCCCGGGCCACAGCAGAGAGCTGGCCTGGAAGAGGGGCAACCGGGACAGAATCCGGCGCCCCGACCGGGACTAGAACCCGGTGTGCCGGCGCCGCTAGGCGGAGGATTAGCCTAATGAGCCGCGGCGCTGGCTCTTTGTTCTTTATTTCATCTTTTATCCAACAGCCCAGTGCAGGGGACATGCCAGTGCTAGCAATAACAGATGGGAGTATGATTTTCTAGAAGGCCTTGAATGCCTCCAGAAGTGTTGCCATACCGTTCTGTCTTGAAGCTTGAGCATCAGGGGTCCTCTGTGCCTTTTGTGTCCTGGACTCTTGCTAGACCACTTGCAATAGCAGAATACAGTTATAAAAATGACCACCATCATGCTTGTTGTGGTTAATATGGCAGCAGTCTAAAAATAATTCTTCCAAGTGGGATCTCAAAGATGCGGTTTTCTTCTGTTTCTTTGGAAAGTGTCTATGTGTACTCTGTGCAGAGTCAACCAGGTGGGCCCCACATTAACACTGAAAAATCTTACTGGCATAACATGACAGAAGTGTGTGTCATGCTCATGCTAGTTACAGTCCAGATCAGGTAAGCAAGGAGGCTGTTCTCATTGTGTCACAGGGACAGGGAGGCAGAGAGAGAGGCATTTTCTTGTAATGTACTACTGTGATCACTGTAGCAGAAAGAATATGGCAGCTGTGTATGGACTGTCTATGCTCCTAGCCCAAAGTGCCCCATTTCTTTATCTAAAGATAAACCACCTATAGTCAGCTTTAACAGGGGCAGGAACATATAGCCTTACTGTGTCCCCAAAGGCAGATAATTGGAAATAGCCTGCCTGACCACCTGTCATAGTGTTCATGAAATAGAGTCTCACACGGGCCAGCGCCGTGCCTCACTTGGTTAATCCTCCACCTGTGGCGCCGGCATCCCATGTGGGTGCCAGTTCTAGTCCTGGTTGCTCCCCTTCCAGTCCAGCTCTCTGCTGTGGCCCCAGAAGGGCTATGGAGGATGGCCCAAGTGCTTGGACCCCTGCACCCACATGGAAGACCAGGAAGAAGCACCTGGCTCCTGGCTTTGGATCGGCACAGTGCCGGCTATTGCAGCCATTTAGGGGGTGAACCAACGGAAGGAAGACCTTTCTCTCTGTCTCTCTCTCTCACTGTCTATAACTCTGTCAAAAAAAAAAAAAAAAAAAAGAAAAAGAGTCTCACATTCTCTTTAATCATATGTACAGATCTCTTCAATTTGAAGGGTAATTTATAGCCTTAAAAGTTCCTTTCACATTCATTATGATACCATTTAATCCTTGAATGCTCTGAGGAGCTAATTAATTGGGACATTAAATAGCATTAACTGTGTGTATGGTCACTCATACACAGGGCATTTTTTTCCCGTTCCATATGTTTGATCCAGTAACCACATATAAATTATGATTAACGAAACATAGTTCTTTACTTGTTTATGTTTTTGTGTAGTTTAAGCATCTATAATCTGTAAATTTCAAATGCTTTGAAATTTAATACTTTCTGAGTACCATGAATTTTGAATTTCAGTTTTCAGATTTCTGCATTAGGGAGTTCTCACTCTGTAGTCTATGGAAATAATTCTGACAGCTGAATAACTCTGTAATCTGAAATACTTCTGGTTCCCAGCATTTTGTATAGGGATATCCAACTTGTACCAGCCGTGTAAGGTTTGTCCATACAAACCTTTTTACCTGGAGACAATGGATTTTACTAGCTTTTATAGATCTTGAGGAACTGAATCTTCACTTAAACTTAAAAGCAAATGTAATAAGACTTTTTGTGAGTCACTGAATGACAGTACTGTTTATTCCTTTTTTTGCTAATTTAGGTTATTACTGCAAATGCAGCCCCTTACACATAGGGACATACTGTGAGGTGAGCGTCAATCCTTGTTCCTCCAATCCATGCCTCTATGGTGGCACGTGCGTGGTAGACAATGGAGACTTTGTTTGCCAGTGTAGAGGATTATACACTGGTCAGAGGTATGTATAGTTTTCCTAACTTTCATAATTCATTATACTCATAAATTGTTCTAATGTCATTGTGCATGTTTAATACTTTATTTGTTAATATTTTCTGTGTGCTTTATTTATCTGAAATAGAATTATAAAGTTGATGCTATTTTTCCCTTATTCTTTAGGTGCCAGCTTAGTCCATACTGCAAAGATGAACCTTGTAAAAACGGTGGGACATGTTTTGATAGTTTGGATGGTGCCGTTTGTCAGTGTGACTCAGGTTTTAGGGGAGAAAGGTAAGTGATTTCCCTCAGGATTCATATTTGCATTTTTCTGTGCTCTCATATTTAATAACAGATACAGCAAAACTTCATTAATTGGGACTATATTATTTCAGAATTAGATAATCTTCACATGGCTCCTAACAAATTTCTCTTCACCTTTGAAAAAAGATACTGAGCAGAGGAATATAATATATATAATTCTGGAAGAATCCTATACTTTAAAGATACGATTTAAAACAAGGCCTGGATGGGTTGTTGCAGGCAGCAGCTGTTTGTGGAATCAGTGAGATTCTAAGGTTTTTTGGAGCAAACATACATTGGAGACGACTTCTTACTATATAACATCCAGAAACCTTTCTCAACTCTTGTAATGTTTGCTGTAATCCTTAGATAGAGGTGGTTCTTTTAGGTAAAGAAAAGGAGGTGCAGAGGTGGATGAGAGAGAGTAGTTTCAGGTGGCCTTTTCACCTTAGGCTTTTCATCAGTTGTTAGAAACCCTTGCCGAGTGCATGGCTCTGCAAGTGCCTCACACAGCATGCAGGGCTTCATTGTTCGTCGTATTAGACAGCTTTTAACGTCACTGCCTTGCAGGCATGCCATAGTTTTGCTCTGGTAGAGGTTATAATCCTGAATTTTGCCATTGGTCACATGACCTTAGTTCACAAATTGACTTTCCTAATTCTAGTCAACGAATACTCCTAATGTATTAGACAAAAATAGATCTGTAATGTAGTAAGTATAAGGGATAGCAAGCAAATACATTTTATTAAAGACAGAAGAGCAGGGTTTGAGAAGTGACAGAGCTACACAGACCCTCTGCTTGGCAAGATGATGGAGGATTGCCTGGAGTTATTCTGTCAGGGTGAGGAGACTGGGAAGGCTTTAAATGTGCAATAACTTTTTTTTAATGTGGGCATCTGACTGGTCTCTTAATCACTGTGCCTAATGTCCACTCCAACTACGTGTTTGTTTTTTACCATTTTTTTCAATTTACTTATTTTCATTTCATTTGAAATTCAGAGAGACAAGATGGGAGGTTCCATCTGCTGGCTCATTTCCCAGGTCCCCAGAACAGTCAGTGCTAGAAGCCAGGAACCCAATCCGGATCTCTTATGTGGATGGCAGGGACCCAAGGACTTGGAGCATCCTCTGCTGCCTCTCATGGTGCAGTTTAGCTGGAAGCTGGATTGGAAGCTGGGGACCCAGGAATTGAACCAGGCACTTTGTTATGGGATATAGGCAAACAAAGCAGGAGCTTATTTTGTGCCAGACTGCTACCCCCAGAATAATATTTAAAAGTAGAAAACAGAGGTTTTTTTGGTCCTTTCTTATTTTTTATGGAACTGTCATATTTCCAAACAGGAACATTTTCTTAGAAATGTAATCTAGTTTATTAGAGAATTTATAGCATATCTTTTATCAAAATGCACCTCTTAGATTTTTGAATGACAGCTTAGCTATTAGAACTAGAAAGAAACCAGTGTTTAGCCTACTTGGTTGATTTAGGAATCTGTTGAATTCTAGAAAAATGGCAGTTAAATCTTGGCTTGATATATTTGTCTTCCAAATACACCCTCAAAGCATATAACCAAATTAATTATTCCACAAAATAATTGTAGTAGTTGTTGATATTATGTTTTTTGGTTGTTTCATATTTGGTTTTTGGCATATCTTACTAAGGAAAGATTAGTCTCTAAGAAGTATAGTCCTGGCACATTCTGACATACATTGCTTTCTCTGCAGGTGTCAGAGTGACATTGATGAGTGTGCTGGAAACCCCTGCCGGAACGGGGCCCTTTGTGAGAATACACATGGCTCCTACCACTGTAACTGCAGCCAAGAGTACAGAGGGAAGCACTGTGAGGACGCCGCTCCCAATCAATACGTGTCGACCCCATGGAATATTGGATTGGCTGAAGGAATAGGAATCATTCTTTTTATCGTGGGGATATTTTTACTTGTGGTGCTGTTTGTTGTCTGCCGCAAGATGATCAGTCAGAGGAAGAAACGGCAGGCTGAGCCTGAAGACAAGCACTTGGGACCAGCCACGGCTTTCTTGCAAAGACCATATTTTGATTCAAAGCTAAATAAGAACATTTACTCAGACATACCACCCCAGGTGCCTGTCCGTCCTATCTCCTACACTCCAAGCATTCCAAGTGACTCTAGAAACAACCTCGACCGAAATTCCTTTGAAGGATCTGCTATCCCAGAGCATCCCGAGTTCAGCACTTTTAACCCTGAGTCTGTGCATGGGCACCGGAAGGCAGTGGCTGTGTGCAGTGTGGCCCCGAACCTGCCTCCCCCACCCCCATCCAACTCCCCTTCTGACAGTGACTCAATCCAGAAGCCTAATTGGGACTTTGACTATGACAGTAAGAACTGATCTTTTATTGTTACACTGAAATGTCACTGAGATAAATGATGAGATTATGAATTTTGTCACAGCTACTGGTGGTTCAAGTCTCAAAATTTGTTGTCCTGATTATGGAGATAAATATGCTCAAAATCTGAAACTCTTAGGATCTGTAAAACCTTTTTGGATGTCTCGTGCCAGCTGAGCTTTGGCGCTATGATGTCATTTCAGTTAAGGAATGATAGCAAGACTTGTTCTAGTTAATATTTGGGGGGAGGATAATTTCAGTTTTGTAATTGCTGCATGTTCTCCACTATAATTTTTTAGACTTGATATTAAAAAAAATAGAGGGCATTTCCATGTCAGAATTTTCTTCTAATATGACTGGAGGATGTGGGGTTATTTATATTGGTGAACTGATACCTTTTTGATACTTTAAAAAAGCTACTTGTGCCATTTTAAAACAAGATTTTAATACTTTTTATTGGTCATTAATATCCTTAGTCATGTTGATGGAAAATTTTTGTGGATCTAAGTATATTTATAGGATTTTTTTCTTTGAATTGTCCATTTGTTGAAGCCCAGGCAGTCATTTATTTGGTAATGCTTGCTCTGCGTCGGGATAGAGCAGTGAAGAAAAAAACAGTCCTGGTTCTGAGAACTTACTGTGTGTCATTTCTTCCTTTAGCTAAAGTGGTGGATCTTGATCCCTGTCTTTCCAAGAAACCTTTAGAGGAGAAGCCTTCTCAGCCCTACAGCGCCCGGGAAAGCCTGTCTGAAGTGCAGTCTCTTAGCTCCTTCCAGTCTGAATCATGTGATGACAATGGTGAGTAAGCGGAATGGTGAAGTGCCGCCATTTGCTTGATTATTGTGCACAGTGCTGCTCGTTATGGTATGCAATGATTTAGGTGTACTTAGACCACTTTTAAACAGTACCTTGTGCATAGCTTGCATGAACATCTGGGGGAAGTATTTAGAGTCTTAGTAGGAATTTGAACAGTAGCAACTTGTTGGTAATAAGGAAGAAAATATATTTTGTTGAAAGATAATTGCTATCTGATTAATCTTATATTGACTCTTTTTATACAATAGTAAATGTTATGGAAGTTTGCTGGGTTTTTCAAAACCCCTTGTAAGAACTTTTTTGACCACGCAACACATGCACACATCAAGAAGAGATGTGATAGTCTGAAATGTTCAATTTCAGTAGCACCATTGGTATTACAAGGTTTTATTTGTCTCTTCCTCAACCCCACTGCGGCCCCAGCTCCCATTTGGATCAGAGCGTACTGACTGAGAGCACAGTGTAAGAGATTGCTAGTAAGTTTGATTATATTTCTAATGAAGAAAGTTTTACAATGAGATCTGTGACACCAGTTATGTATATGTGATTTCCCTAGAGTAAATTGCATTAATAAGCAGCTCTATCACATTAATCCATGTAAGTAGAGAAAATTGTCATCATTCAATACCACAAAAAAGTGTAATTGCAGAGTATACTTGTGTTTGTTAGGCATAGAGTATATGGACATAGCTTTGCTTGTTCAACCAACCAGAAGAAGGTAGAATCATTTCTTTGCCGTTTATGGAATAATTTTATCTTGGCCCCTAAATATTTTTCATAAATACTCTTTAGAATGTTGTTAAGCATTTTCTTTCATTTTCCAGTTCTTTTTTGTTGAAACAACATTCTTCTTAATAATTATCCTAAATGTATTTAATATGTTGTGGTCAAATGAATTATGAAAGTTAATCTCCAGATAATATAGTGTGAGAAAAAGACAGACATACAGAACGCCTGTATTTTAGTCATTATCATAATTTAATCATTAATCATAAGGTTACAGTCTGTTCCAAAAGCCTGTACTTAAGCATTTTATTACTAGTTTTCTAAGGATGTTATAACATCCTTTCCCAAACTTAGTTGCTTAAGTCAGCATCCATTTGTTATCTTATGGTTGCAGTTGAGAAGTCCAGTGTGACTAAACTACAAAAATCACGGTGTCTGTAGGCTTTCTGAAAGCACTAGAGAGGACCTGTTTCCTTGCTTGTTCCAGTTTCTGGAGATCATAGACATTCTTTGGTTCGTGCCTTCTTCCATCTTTCAGAGACAGCAACATTGCATTTCACAAACCATTTTTCTAGCCATAGCTCCTCCAACTGCAGTTGGGAAAGATTTCCCTCCTTTCAAAGACATTTGTCAAGTCATTGGGCCTACCGAGATAATGTGGGAAAATCTCCCTATCTTTCAGTCCTTAACTTAACCCCACCAGCTAAATATCTTCTGCATGCATGGTGGCATAAGCACAGGTTCCCAGGAGTAGGATGTGGGCATCTCTGAGGGACATCCTTCTGCATACCACATGTGTACACAGTTATCTTGGCACAGAGACTTTAAGACAGACTGAAACTCTAACAAAAAGGGAATTTGCATAGGAAATAGACAGTACTTCTGTCTATACTTCTCTGCTGGTATGTTGGCTCAACAGCTGTTAGTACATCTGCCAAAAGACCAGAAATTTGGGGTCTTTTTTTTTTTTGTATTTGCATTGCATATGTATCTCCTAACATTTTTTTCTGGGGACAATGTATAAATTCATTACATGGAGCCAAATGAGTGGAGTGTATCCCCAAGTATTTTACTCTGAATATTCAATCTGTTGTCCACAAGATGTTAAAATAAATAAGAGTTGTTTTTTCCCAAATTGCAAACCAGAAATAGTGGTACTTTATTTCTTTGACTAATAACAAATACAGAGCTTGCTCAGAAAAGTCTCAGGACATGTAACTCACAGGAGTACAAGAGTCCCTTATTGTACTGTACAGCTGAATTAAAGCATTAACTTCACATTTTTTAAATTATGAGCTAGAAATTATTTGATATAAATTCTGTTGTATGCATTGTTTCCTAACTAACTGAAGATGTTCCTAATTGACTCCTTTTGTACCTTTTTACAAGCTTCCATAGTGACTGTAATACACCTTGTCAATGCTGTAGTTGACACGGTGAATAAAGAAGGTACAGTCATCAGTGCTTGTGCTTTGTGTCTGTGTTTTCAAGTGACCATGTCACTGGGGTACTGTGCTGTTGCCTATTCTAATGTTGTAAGAACTAGTTTGTGATTTTGAGGGATTTGAGTCCTTTATTTTGTGCCCATGTGTATATTCATAATACAAATGTATTGCAAAAATATTTCTCTCTGTCCTATCTCTTTGTTATGTTTTACCATTTGTGGTGATTTATACAGACATCAGAAGTATCCCAGAGGATCTTGAGAACTTACTGCTTTGTGGTACCATGTTGAGAAATTCAGAACTAATTTTAACTACCTCAGAAAAAATTTAATACAAAAAATCCTCTTCATGTGAGCAAGAGTAGGACTAAATCCCACAAAGCTTTTATAATTACCTAGAACTGATTCTTCACCTTTGGATTTTTCCTTGAGTATGATAAATGAAAGTGGCAGAACATGGTAGAAGGTATATTTCCTATTTGATTTAGTGGAAAAGCATTTAATTTGTTGAAAATTACAAAAAAGAATGTTGACCACCTCCTTCAAATCACCTTGAGTTAAATTAGCCTTTAATTTGAGCCCTTGAGTAGAGTAACCATGTGTGCAAGGCACATGCTAGCAGTTTTCAAGCTGTAAGGTAAGAAGTCAGCTTACCTGGAGGATTGGTTAGAATCATAATAAATAAATTAAAGGCTGATCCCCAACACCAAAGTTTCTGATCACACAAGTCTGGATTGAACCTTGAGAATTTGCAATTTCAACAAATTCCCAGTTAATTCTAATGTTGCTGGGGTTGCACTTCGAGAACAGCTTGCTCAGGCCAGCAGGAGTACACAAATGGAATCCCCATAAAGCACAGAGGATCCCTTGTGGTAGACCACATGTGTTCTCAGGATCTGAGCAGGTAGGGTAGCATCATGAAGATTTGATAGTGCAGGGGTGGAGTTTCACAATTAATAGTTACGAGTGTAGACAAGACTTAGACTTATTTTCCTAAGATGTGCCAATTTTTTACTTGAGGAATCAAAAAGTTGTTTGTATTTTGCCCAGTAAATATTGTTTTTAGCATGATAATGTTACAATATTTCAAACATGGATGGCATTTAAAGAAGCAGAGTTTAAACAGTTCTTTTGTTACTATCTCCTTTCTCCAATATGTTATTCGGCCCATCTACGAAGTTGAAATGAAATCTAAAGTTGAAACTTGGCTTAAATTTTAAGGATTATGGATTACCTGTATAGGTACAAAAGTTGTTTAAAGGATTTACTATATTGTTTTGTAAACTTTTAAAAAATATGCAGATATATATTCCCTCAAAACTGACTTACTCATTTTTTAGAACCATTACATTTACTTACATTCCTAGAAGAGAACTTCTGACCAAATATTATTTGTGCCAAATTAGCTTATTAGCTGGGTTTTCAAGAACATGACAGAATGTATAGAAAGCATGGCCTTGTTTAGAAAATCACTAAGGTACATATTTCTGCTTGATTATTACTGTCCCCATTATCAGTGGTCCCTAACAGTTAGTGCTTGCTTGACCTACATGGAGTAATCCTCATAAAAACTCTAAAGAATTTTCACCCCTGTTTCAAACGAGAACCTGAAGCTTAGCCAGGTTGTGCATCCCATGACCCTGTCCGGCAGTGAGAAGTACAGCTGCTTCCTTTCTCTTAGTCCAGAGCTTGGTGTATGGGTATGAGAGCCCTGACAGAGCTAGTGTGGTTACAGGTGTGGAGGAGAAGGGCAGAGGGTAGTTGTAGCCAATGATCTCCCTAGGGAATGACTAGCAGTGTCAATATAAAATCCATTCACAGGGGATAAGCTTTGGAGAGATTCTCAGCTTTTAGTGATCTCTGTTTGCCTATGAATTTCTCTGAACTTAATATACTTTTGAAGGTTATAATATGCTGCCAAGTAGATGTTCATTACACGGCTTTAGATGTCTTTGCGTTGTCACCTAAGCAGCCTAATCAGTTTACATATGATTGCAGCTTTTCCTTTGTGTTTCCCTCATTCCTGAGAGAACTCTTGTTAGGTGTAGATTGTCATAAACAAGGAAAAGAAAGGGAAATCATATTTGAGTTTCTTGGCAAAGTCGTCTCTACTTCATCATCACTCATCTTTTTCTTCCCCTCCCATATTCCATTTTATTTGTGCCACGTAAATTTCTCCACCGTAGTTAATTTTCTTAGATAAAGGCTTAAAAATATGTTCTGTGGCTGACTGGGCCTTTGTAAACAGTGTACATTGTATTATGTACTGCATTGCCTCTTCAGCCGTCTATCTGTTTTAATTATAAATGTTTTCTTTTCTTCCTATTCTACCACCAAAAGAATCTTTGGCTGCTCCTGACCTCAGCAAACCAAGAGGTGACTTATGCATGCCAGTTGCTCATTGATAATCACTAAACACATGGGAGAAGAGTTGGCCCCAGTGCTGACTTGCTTCACATGGTTGCTCAATGTTTGCAGCAGTAACTAAGTACATGGTCGTTTGTGCACTGCATTGTAAACACGTATTGCCTAACCTTGTCCTGTCTTGTCAAAGGATTTTTAAAATCCTAAGAAGAAAAAAAAAAAAAACTGTCCCTGAATTGGGGAGTTTTTTTTTTTTTTTTTTTAATAACGATACTTTTATATGGTCTAAAGTGATGCTTAGTTTTTTTTGAAGTAACAGAGAATGGTTGCAGTTTATCAAAAGTTGTTACTTTTTTTAGTGTTTGTGTTTTGCTTGACTTGGAGGCATGCTCTGATACATACCTATCATGAGATAATTCATTGCTTTAGTTAGGGCTAATGAAAAAAATAGCACAGCTTTTAATATTAGACTTACATTAAACAGGAAATTTATATTCTAAATTACAGCATGGCATAGATTACTTTTATTTTTAAAAGTTATCTTAGTTTTTCTTTTAGGGACAAATAATTAGATCATAGGGCATTAGTTATTTCACTCAGTAGAAAGTCCTCCTTTCTGAAAGAAGACACTTCTGTGTCAGCATCTTGAGCCTGAACTAACGCTTTTCTTCATGTTGAACACTGGGCTCTAAATTGCAGAAGCAAAGTGGAAAGGATGACTGGAATTAATTTGTGGAAAAGTGCATGTAACACAGATGCTAGCGTTCCACTTCTGTTAGAGCTCGGTTGTGTCCTTGCAAGTTAGGTACGTACATGAAGCGAAGCCTACGTTTTAGAAATGGAACCTAGTTCATAGAGGTGCTCAAAGCTGGGTCGGGGTGGAGGGCCGTCTTCAGAGCAGACGTGAAAGCTTTCCAGGGTGCTGAGCATGGAATGAATGCATAAATGTGTCTGCATCTTTGTGTCTCTACTACAATGAGCTCTTTTTGCATGGCCTCAAAGCTTGAGAGGACTCACTGAAATCGTGTTTCCTTTTCCACGAAGGGTATCACTGGGATACATCGGACTGGATGCCAAGTGTTCCTTTGCCAGATATACAAGAGTTCCCCAATTACGAGGTTATTGATGAGCAGACACCCCTGTACTCAGCAGATCCAAATGCCATCGATACAGACTATTATCCCGGAGGTTACGACATTGAGAGTGATTTTCCACCACCACCAGAAGACTTCCCTGCGCCTGATGAACTTCCACCCTTACCTCCAGAATTCAGTGATCAGTTTGAATCCATACACCCTCCTAGAGACATGCCTGCTGCAGGCAGCTTGGGTTCCTCCTCGAGAAACCGGCAGAGGTTCAACTTGAATCAGTATCTGCCCAACTTCTACCCCGCTGATATGTCTGAACCTCAAAAAAAAGGCACTGGTGAGAATAGTACTTGTCGAGAACCCTATGCCCCTTATCCCCCAGGGTATCAAAGGAACTTTGAAGCCCCCACTGTAGAAAACACGCCCATGTCTGTGTACGCGTCCACAGCTTCCTGCTCTGATGTGTCAGCGTGCTGCGAAGTGGAGTCGGAGGTCATGATGAGTGACTATGAGAGCGGGGATGATGGCCACTTCGAAGAGGTGACGATTCCGCCGCTCGATTCCCAACAGCACACGGAAGTCTGACGCTCAAACTCCCCCCCAAAGTGCCTGGACTTTAACAAACCTAGAGATTATATGTCATCTTCTGCATTGTTCTTTGCAGCAGTGCTAAAGCGCTTTCTTTCGGTGAGCTAAAATTGGCATGGCTGCACTGAATCCCGCGCCTCTTGACAATGTTAGCCATTTCCAGTGTCCTAACCTACTGTAATTGGATGAGACTGTCCTTGGCTGTGCCATTTCCAAACATCTTTGTGTATTTACATTTGTCTGTGTTTAAAAAAATGGAACGAAAGTAAGTCCTACCATCTTGTTAGCATGATTCATGTATTTATATAGATTTGATTATTTTAATTTCCCGGTCTCTTTCTTTTTGTAAATTTCATGTACAGATTTGATTTTTCATAGTTTTAACTAGGTTTTCAAAAATATTTTGTGCATTTGTTTTCAACTGAATCTTGGTGGTGTTAGTGTCATTACCTAGCACCCTGATTTTTAAATATAACCAGGGTTTCACTATATGTCTTTTTCCACTGAAGTATGACATTTCATTACTACATTTCAATATAGTCATTTATTTCTAGCTGTACATAGGATGAGGAAAGATCTGATACATGGACATGTCTTAAATGGGTTGCTGTATTTTAGAATAATAAACATTTTTCATTATTGGAAAGTGTAATGGGGACCTTATGCATACCTGTTTAGAACCAAAACCACCACGACACAGTTTTTATAGTGTCTGTATATTTGTGATGCAATGGTCTTGTAAAGGTTTTTACTGAAAACTACCATTAGCCAGTCTTTCTTACTGACAATAAATTATTAATAAAATACTTTAGCTTTATTGCCTGTTTTTCCTCTGTGTTCAGTTGGTGAGTTTTGAGAGAAGGATGGATGATGAATGGATGAACGGAAGGATGGATGCATGTAAATGGTTTTATTTTGCGTCTTTAAAGGTGAGCCAAAGGAAAGCCAGGTTGTACTTACAATTGAAGCCACTAGGTGGCAGTATGGGGCTACTCGACACCGGTCAAAACTCGACTTGTGGGTAAACAGGGTACCGCTTTTGTAGTAAATATTTTCTAACTAAAACTTTAAGAAAAATTTTATTTATATAGTTTTAAATTTATCACAATTTTTGGCAATAATTTAAATGCATCTGTAATTTTTTACGTTTGTCAATGATTTATATCAAAATGTGTTGGAGTAGTGTCCAGTGGAGTCCTTGGGTGTGTTTCCTGGCTCTGGCTCCTGACTCCAGCTTTCTGCTAATACAGACCTTGGGAGGAAGCAATCAGGGCCCAAGTAATTGGAGCCCTGCCACCCACTTGAGAGACCTAGATAGAGTTCCCAGATCCAACTCTGGCCTTGGCAGTCATTTGAGGAGTGAACTCTAACAGATGGAAATTCATGCACTTTCTCTAACTCTCGCTACCTCTCCTCCTCACCCTCCATCTAAAATCCAGAAATGGTTTTCCATCTTCTGTTATTTACTCAAAAGCCATCTATTCATTGAACATATATTTCTTGAGTACTCACCATGTACCAGCCACTGTGATTGGAACTACAAACAAAATAGGTTTCTTGGCCGGCGCCGCGGCTCAGTAGGCTAATCCTCCGCCTAGCGGCGCCGGCACACCGGGTTCTAGTCCCGGTCGGGGCGCCGGATTCTGTCCCGGTTGCCCCTCTTCCAGGCCAGCCCTCTGCTGTGGCCAGGGAGTGCAGTGGAGGATGGCCCAGGTGCTTGGGCCCTGCACCCCATGGGAGACCAGGAAAAGCACCTGGCTCCTGGCTCCTGCCATCGGATCAGCGCGGTGCGCCGGCCGCAGCGCGCCGGCCGCGGCGGCCATTGGAGGGTGAACCAACGGCAAAGGAAGACCTTTCTCTCTGTCTCTCTCTCTCACTGTCCACTCTGCCTGTCAAAAAATTAAAAACAAAACAAAACAAAACAAAAAAACAAAAAACAAAAAAAAACAAAATAGGTTTCTTGGAACTTTGGAAATACATTTTTCCCTTGAAGTAGATTTCTCTTTTTAGCAAATTATATATGATTATAGAGAGGTAAACTATTTACAACAAAACACAGCAACCCCAGACACTTTAGCTACTTTTTAAGCTGTTTTTCTTTCTTCCTTTCATATTTTCAGATGTACATATTGTAACTTCTTGAGTCATTAATTTGCCAATTACCTGTTGAATCCATATGAGTTGAAGGAAGAACACATAACCTAATAAACCCCATTGTATTGGTCACCTGTGCTATGCTGTGTGAACAGACAACCCAAAATTCTCTGCCTTCTTAGACCTTACTTTTGGGGGGACAGATGGTGGGAAGAGATGGACAACTGAAAAACAGGTAAGAGCATATAGAGTGATGCCTATCAAGGAGACAAGCTGGGATTTGGGAAGGCTGGCTTTTTGAGCAGTTGGAAGGCCTCCGTGATAAGCTAGCACTGGGGTAAAGTCCCACAGTTGATGGGGGGAACCATGTGCCTGGGGAATGAGCACCCCAGGCAAAGGGAATAACTAGTGGGACGGTCCTGGGGCTAGCGTGCAAATAGACAGAAAAATGTGTCCTCCTAGGTAAAGTGCTGTTAGAAGTGGTCAGAGCTACCAGAAAATTTGTCAGTTCCTTCGTTTTCTCTTGATCATTTGTCCTGTGGAGCCTGCCTTCAGCTGACCCGTCTCAGTAATTGGTTCCTTGAGCAGCTGCACAGCGGTTGGCTCTGGTGTTTCCCTGTGTTGTCATGTAAAGACCCCCTCACTGTGGACTCTGTTTTCTCTCAGCTTAATTCCTGTTTTGATAGAGTATTCCAGTTATTTCCTGAGAAAGCATGCATGGGAAGTAATTTTGTGACAGTTTTTCTAGAAATGTCTATTCTGTCGTATTTGATGAATTGTTGGTAGATTTCTACTGTGGAGGCAAATTTCATTCTTGATTTTGAAGTCATTAAACATTGTCCTCTGGCTTCCAGTGTTACTATTGAATTGTCTGTTTCTATTCCCAGCTTATTGTTTGTGACCTAACATGACAATTCACACAAATCTGTGGGACAGTGAAGATTGGCTTTCTGACATTGTAAGATTCCTGGGTAATATGTCTTAGAGCGAGCCTTTTCCATTGGATTGGTTCAATTATGGAAGTCCAGACCTTGGGGGGATATTGTTATGTTAGCTCTGAAATAACTTCTTTCCCCCCTTTTCAGTTGTCTCATCACCACAGGCAGTCTGACTTGTTAAATTAATCCTCATCTATTTATTGAATTCCTATTGTTCATTCTTGTTTTATTCTACTTCCTAAGATTCATTCCACATTTTGTTTCCATCCTTTCTGTTAAAACTTTTCTTTCGGCCATCATACTTTAAGAGTGTGGTCATGTTCTGGTGGTTTCTTTTATATAATGGAGAGACAGTTTCCTAGCTCCTTGGTGCCCTTGTCTTTGTCTTATCTTTCTAATTGTAGCGTTTGCAGTCCTCCTGTTTTGAGTCGTTCTCCTCCAAACTGCATCTTACTATTCCTTTTGGGTGGCCTTGGTCTTGTTCTCTTTGTCCTTTGGAAGCTTTCCTTTTTCCTTTTTATTTAGGGAGCCGCGCACATGGATTGAAAGCCGCTGGTGGTGGTGATGAATTCATGATGCCCCCTGTGACAGCTGGGACCATCAGCTTGCTTTGTTGATTTCTGTTGGTCTTTCCTTGAAGAATCTGTGTTTCCAGAGGAGGGACCTTCTGTTTCCAGTGTGAGAAATATTGTTCAGGTTGACCAGCCAAGGGGACTGAGGATTTTATCACTCACTCAGTCCTCCAGCTCCGGGTGATAGGGACATTCATGCTCCAGTCTCTGCCTCTCGTCACTGAGTCTGCTTGGGGTAGAACTGAGCATCTGGAGTCTAACAACTTGAAGATAACCCAGACAGATAGTACCCCTGCTGCACGTCCTATTCTTCACCCACTTTCCAAGTTCCTAGTAAATGTCTTATTCCTGTTCTCCAGGCTCCCACGTCTGAGTGCCGTCATCTGCTGAGACTCAGCTTATCACCCACTGCCTGCTGTCCCGCTTAGGCTGTATTGTAGTTTACAGTTAACACACAGCACGTCTTGTTTGCAGTGGAGTTGCTTTTAAACCTTGGATATATTTTTTTTTAACCAGGTTTTGATTGTTTTTAGAAACTTATTGTTGGATAGATTTTTCAAGAGAAGAGGCAGAAATGTGATCCTCTGCCACCTTAAGCTAGAAGTCTGAGACTTACTCTTGGCCCTGGGTTTCCAGTGTTTGGAAGAACATGGATATTTCAATTTCCTGTTGCTTTGTAAGAAACTGTCATAAATTTAGTGGCTTGCAGTGACTCATTCATTACCTCTGTTTCCACGGATAGAGGCCCAGGCACAGATGGCATGGCTGGGCTCTCAGGATCCATGAGGCAGAAATCAAGTCATCAGCTGGGTTGTGTTGTGGGAAACCCAGGGTCTTGTCTGCGTTCCTGTGGGAGTGTCAGAGTTCACTGGGTTGCAGATTTAGAACGGGAGTCCCATGTTCTTGTTGCCTCTAGGAATTAGATTCCCTCTGGCTGGCTGTCCCTGCTTTCTGAACAGGTGCTGCTTCACTCAGCTCCTAGCTACTTGGCCTGCACACCACTTGGAGCCTCAGACCTTCAGAGCCAACAAGAATTCCCCATCATGCTTCCATTCTCCCTCATGTCAGGAAAGGCCCCTTCGCTTGCTTAAGGGCTCTAATGATGGAGTCAGGGGCCCACCCAGGAGCTCCACTATCTCCTTTTGATTAAAAGTCATCGGATCAGCAGCCTCATCGGGGATCCCATCACGTTCCTAAGTTACAACCACACTGGGGTGGGGAGCATTCATGTTGCCTGGGGGTGGGGTTCTCGGAGCTCCTCTCAGAATTTACCTGCCACCACCCTTGACTCTGTCATTTTTGTTGGTTTGTGGGTGTTTTTTTTTTTTTTTTTTTTTTTTTTTTTTTTTGACAGAGTGGACAGTGAGAGAGAGACAGAGAGAAAGGTCTTCCTTTACCCTTGGTTCACCCTCCAATGGCCACTACGGCTGGCGCACCATGCTGATCCGAAGCCAGGAGCCAGGTGCTTCTGGTCTCCCATGCGGGCGCAGGGCCCAAGGACTTGGGCCATCCTCCACTGCACTCCTGGGCCACAGCAGAGAGCTGGACTGGAAAAGGGGCAACCAGGTGAGAATCCGGCACCCCGACCAGGACTAGAACCCGGGTGCCGGCACCGCAGGCAGAGGATTAGCCTAGTGAGCCGCGGTGCCGGCCGGTTTGTGGGTTTTTCACAATACTATGACCTTCTAAAATAAACAGCATTTTAAACTAAAGACTTATGTGTATTTTTTTTTAAATAGCATCACCCTTTTCATTAATTGGAAGTGACCGGAACACTCTATGTGAGTTTTCAGATCAGTTTTAAAATCACTGCTTTGACATAAAACAGACGATATGAATTCACACTGAATACTTTTATTACAGAAGAACCTAAGCACCCACAAAGAATTAGTGTATGCTTGTCAATTTCTTTTCCTAAAGCTTTTTATCTCCGCACCTCTTGACGGGCAGGGGAAGTCACAGTCTGCCAAGGGCTTGCCCAGGATTTCATTTTGTCTTGTTTGCTTGGTGCCCATTTAAAATTCCCTTAGAAAGCTTAGGTGCCTCAGAAAATCCTGGGGCTTCTGTGATGTTGCTAATGTCACATTCACCTGGATTCTGGGGCATACAGATACACTGCATTTAAGAGCACTTGGTGTTTGTCACAATCTATTTCTGACTTAAATTGCTTTTCTTCATTTTGCTCCTGAAATTTAGTTGTTTTTTTTTTTCCC